CAAAAAGGTGATCTCCCAACGTTACTGGTTTGAAAAGATAAAAATTTACAAAATGGAACGATCTCACCAAGTTTAGCCAAATTGTAGACGAAGCTTGACGAAGATCAATATGAATTAGTCCGGTTTATGGTAGTTCCGCGGAATGTAAGACACTACACTACACATCTAACATTTATTTTAAAACTTATTAATTACATCACAAATTCGGTCCTGTGACCGTCTATTGACCTGGCTATCTGGAGTCTTCTATATTTGATATTGTAGTTACTCTTAAGCGCCCATTACACATGTCAATGTATTGATAAACATCGTATTGTCAATTTTCCTTACAATATTATCAATACAGAAATATTGACAACGTGAGTGACAACACGCTTAAGCGCTCGTTACACGGATCAATACATTGACAATAAATTGACATACTGACGATATCATTGAAAAGGTAATATTGATGACGAGTATCCAGCATTTTACCAGCGCTTATGGCCGGTACAATCTGACTGAGTTTTTGGTAGGGAACATATGATTTGACGTTTGGGTTGTGTCGTTTGACGTGTAAACGTTCAAATTTGAACGTTAACACGTCAAACGACACAAGACAAACTTCAAATCTTATGTTCCCTACCAGAAACTCAGCCAGGTTGTGGCGGCCATAAGCGATCGTAAAATACTGGATTGTTGAAAAACTGATTTTTATTTCACTTCGTCAATATTCTTCCGCTATCCAAGAGGAAGAAGAACGTACGTCATATAGACCGGCTGACTCACAAAGCACCTTCGTGCATGCAGTGTTGCCATTTTGTTATAACTTTCATGTGTGATGTAAAATCGATTTCAAAATAAATAAAAAATGTGCCTTTTACAGTGACCAATTAGTTTATATGGATGTACATTTTCTACAAAATCACAAGCATTATTTTTTTAACTTTAAAATTAAATAAATGCTATCAGCGTTTCATAACCCAAGTAACAATTTTGTGAAGAGCTTTGAGTGGGTTGGTTTATTTCCTTTAAATTCCATTATAATTGCTTATCTTTTGAAAGATACGCGTATTTCGTCTACTACTTGCAGACTTAATCAGTGCCAAGTACTCAACACCACTGAAGAATCCATATTTTATCTACGAGTTATATACTAATCAATAGGTACTAAAAATCAGCAAAAAATTGATTAGTATATAACTCATTGATAAAAGATGGATTCTTCAGTGGTGTTGAGTACTTGGCACTGATTAAGTCTGCAAGTAGTAGACGAAATACGCGTATCTGTCAAAAGATAAGCAATTATAACTTAATTTAAAGGAAATAAACCAACCCACTCAAAGCTCTTCATAAAGGGATTCCGTTAAGAGATTCGACAAATTTAAAGGATTTAACAATTTTGGCTTTATGAGAGTTAACTTTGTCCTTTTTGGCAAGTAATATTACACCACATTTTTAACACGATTGAAGTGCATCATCTTTGATGTGATATCAAAATAATTTTTTTGCTATGTATTTCTTATGGTTATTTCCATATAAACTTCAAATGGATTGTGCCCAGTCAGTTTCTTACCAAATGAGATTAAATTTTTAGAGGCTAATTAATGAGAGTCGAAAAGTATGCAAAATTTGCAATGTTTGGCGACGTAAACAGATTCTGTAATATGGTCGCCGGAAGGTTTCTAAAATAATTTTGTAATTTGTATGTTAGCTAATGTTTCGTACAAAGTTTGTTTCCCCAAATGCATTACTTAGCTTAGCTTAGCGTTTGCATCATCGGTTTGTTTGAAGTACCAGATCACCGATGAGTCGTGCGCTTGCTCACTGTTCGGGAGCGTGAGAAATGGGAACATTTTGCGTGAGAGTTACGAGTAGACCAACGTATATCAGTGACGCAAGGTAAGTCTTTGTTTCCCCAAATGCATTACGTCTAGAAAATCATCTCGTGAAAGTTTTATACAAAAATATGCACTCTAGAGAAAGTAGGTACATAGCAAGAACTGCCATTACATTTGTTGGATGAAACAAATGCAGAGGATGTAGTGAATCCAACCTTACATTGGATGTAAGAGAAATGTGTTTTGCGTGTATCATTTTTGCATTAGTATGGCAAGAACAATTTATGCCCAGAGAAGTCGAGAAATTTGTCAAACCGAATAATTCCTAGACCGGTCTGAGAATCGAGCCCAGCCGCCCCAGCATGGTCTTGCTTTATAGCTGTGCGTTTACCGACTGAACTAAGGGAGGCCCCTGTGGAACCAAACATCCGATCGAGAAAAAAATCTTCAGGATTCTACGAGAGTCAGATACAAACCAAATTAAACCGGTTGCACTCAAACCGGTCGAGCCATCTCTGAGGAAAATGAGTCACAGTTCTATGGAAGTCAGATGCAAAAAAAAAGTAGAACCAGTAAAATCGCTTCTGAGTGCATAAATTCTCTTATTTGGTTATATCTCCGGAATATTTATTTATAATGCTGTACAGGAGCCAGATAAAGGACTGTTCTTAAACTACATAGACCCCTCCACCCGCGTAGGCAATCGTCCATACAATTTTTATAGAAACGTAGAGACACTCGACAATTCCCCCCCCCCCCTCTTCCAAGTTTCTACGTACAGAATTCCCTCCATATGTGTGGTACCGTCCACCCACCGCTATTTTGGCTTTCATCGTAATTGATTCAAGGACAAACGAGAAATAGCGATTAGTGGACGGTACCACCCTGTATATATGGAGGGAATGCTGTAGTTTATGAACAGGATTGGATTGAATTGGATTTCTTTATTTGGGAGATTTCTGCCCAAGGCTGGTTCATCTCCGGGAACCCCAGAAGGGGTTTCCCCAAATCACAAGGTTTAGTAATTTTAAATCTTAAAATGGGTGGGTCTTCAGTCCCCTAAGCTGTCTTGAGGTAAAGTAACTTGCTTGTTTGCTGTCGTTGTTGTTGGTTTGCTGTCAGATAAAAGCTGTCGGATTTGCTTCGTCGGGGGTTTCCTGGGGCGAATGACAAAGGGGGAGGTAGTCTAGTCATAATATGATTAAGATTAAGAATTCCGTAAGTAAGGCCGTTGGTAAAACTTGAAGGTCGAGGTCGAGGGTAGAGTCACCAACATTGACCCCCAATTGTTGAGGGGTCCACTGCCGGCAGCGATGTATGACTTGGTGGAGGTCAAATCTGCTGACATAGGTCTACCTTTCGGAGGAAACTCAACAGATCGGCCGAGCATCAAGCAAGGTATGAAGCAGTATGAAATACTGCATTCCTTCACAGATTTCTTGCAAACAAGCATTCAATCACGCAAAGTAACGCCAACATTGGACAGAAAAGACAATCCCCAATTTATTGGTAATGTTGATTTTAATGATTGAGTTGTTATTTGCGAGAAATTGTTGACGGATGTGCAAATATATTCATTAAGGTGGATCAAGTTTATATTGCGGGTCACAACACCCAGTTCTCCAATGCTCTTTCAAAGCGTATTGAGGTCCCCAAAGATTGTGCCAAATTTGAACGAATTTGATTATGATCTGGATTTACGGGTGAATTTTGAAATTGTGTACAGGAAAATGTATGGGAAATTGAAGGAACTTTTAATTTGCTTGTCACAAAACCAAAAAATAGCTCAATTTGTCGAAGACCGCAAATCGATTCAACGTTCGTTGTACTTAGTCTAAAGTAAAAAGTTAACAACTGTATGTATACATGTCAAATCAATTTGCAGTCTTCAACAAAGTTGTTCTAAGTTCTATTAATTGAGCTATTTTTGGATTTTTGATAAGAAAATGCATAATTTCATTCCATTTCTCATATAACGCTTTAAATTCTCGTGCAAATCCAGATCATAACCAATCATGAAACCAACTATTTAAAGTTTGTTCATACGACACATAGTATCCAACTGTGGCGCATTTTTGCAGTTATCTTGGTTACACCCATCATCATTCTTAGTTGAAAACCATTTAGGGTAGGATGGTGCAAAACGCACCGTTTAAGCAAAATCGTCAATGGCTGGCGAATGGAAGCTAAAATCAAGAAGAAAGTAATGGCGTTTGGTTCAGTACCATGTTTTCTACAAAGATCAAGTGATTTAGAACTACAAAAGGATGATTTTCCATGACTTTCAAGGTATTTTTTAAATTGCTTCCAAAATGATATCGGGTCAAAACGCCTGATTCATGATGCAATATGCACCACAACATTGGGACAAAACGCACGACAACAATGGCCAAAACGCACCACAACATTGGGGTAAAATGCACCCCATGGTAAACAAACCATAACCCCTGCAAGTAGATAATGCAAAGGGATGCGGTATTTCAAATGATTATTTCTTTATGTTACATCAGAAATAAGGTCTCAAAATCTCAATAGAATGTTAAACTGTGATTCATCAAGTAAAATATCTAAAAAATATACGAAACGTAAATTTTTTAATTTTTTTTTGTGATACATGATGATAAAAGCTTAATTTACAGTCGATGATTTTAACAACTGTGTCCTGTTTTGCACAAAATGCAATTTTTTTAAGGAATCAGTAAGTCAATACATGATTTTATGATCAAGAATTATTTGTTAAACCTCCAGTTGAAAACAATCACAAACCATTACCCGGAAAATGCATCTGAGGAAAAGTTATCGCTGTTTTTCTATAAGTGGGCATTTTACCCCAGGGGTGCATTATGGGCTGTTCTCCATTACCAATATGCACGTCAAGACACGCTACGCAGCAAGAAACAAATAATCTAAAGGTGAGATGAGCCAAACTGGTCTTAGCCGTCAGTGAAGACTATTGCAAAGGAAAACCAAAAATCTAAACTCGATTTCACCTAAAGACTCCTCCCTCTCCCCCCATATGGTTCAACATAAAGAGTCGTTTTGTTCTCCACCTTCTTGCAAACAGCAACCAGTCGTTGTCGAGTTTGGATCACGGTCGGTGTCCCCCGGTCTTCGCCAACAATAGCTTAACGCTTTTCTGGTTAGCATCTAATTCGCACGTTTTTCTTAATCGGTCTAATTGCAGATACTCACTCTGACGGACTGCGAACGATGACGGGGCGGAAAGCGGACGCCCAAACCCCGTTGCTGGAAGCTGTACGGGGTTTCACTGCCCTGCTGCTGTTGCTGACCTTGGTGACACTTTGCAACGGTCATGGTAGACTGATAGAGCCACCGAGTCGAGCGTCCGCCTGGAGGTACGGATTTTCGACGCCGCCAAACTACAACGACCATGAGCTGTACTGCGGGGGATTCAATCGGCAATGGCAGAAGAACGACGGCAAGTGCGGCGAGTGTGGCGATGCGTTCGACGTGCCGAAACCGAGACCTCACGAGTACGGTGGCAAATGGGGTCAAGGAGTGATTGTGAGGCGCTACAAAGCTGGATCGGTGATTACGGTGAGAGTGGAGCTCACTGCCAGTCACATGGGGTAAGTGATGGATGGATGGGATCAGTGATGGAAAAGTTCGCGAAAACTCACTATGACTCGCGAACTTTTCCCTTGGTGAACTTCGTGAAATATCGCGAACTCTTCCAACACTGGTTGGGATGATAGAATAAAAATAAAAAATCTCCTTTTTCAGATACTTTGAGTTCCGAATCTGCGAGAACGTGAAAGCACAGCAGGAATGTTTGGACAAACATGTTTTGAAGATCCTCAGCGGTACACCGAGTATACCGCACCCGAACGATTTGGAGACTCGTTTTTATCCTCGCAATGGCAGTCGAATTTACGAAATGAAGGCAGAACTTCCTCAAAGTATCTATTGCGGTTGAATTTGTACGAATTTTACGGTTATCACTGGTTCTTTCTTTTAGGTTTTCAGTGCACCAATTGCGTTATCCAGTGGAAATACATTGCCGGTAACAACTGGGGAATGTGTCCGGATGGTAATGGGGCGGTCGGTTGTGGCCCTCAGGAAGAATTCCGTGCTTGTTCTGATGTGTCAATTGGCGATACCAGTGACAATGGGAATCGTACTCCGCTTCGACCAGGATATCGCCCAACGCCAACCAGAGTGCCTGCCGTCACACCGGACCAGGGTGCGAGTGGAGCAACCGGCAACGGAACAAACGTCGACGAGGAAATGCCACCCGTCAAGTACATGGGACCACTGGTTGCCATTTTATCGCTTTTTCTTGTCCTATGTGGATTTGCTGCACTCTATATTTATCACTATCATGGGGGGCGGATAAAGGCTCTGATGCGCTGGAACCGCGACAAGAACCAAAAGATGGCCCAACATATGGAAGCGAGCGCACAGGACTCGGCCATATCCATCAGCCCACCTGTACCGCCACCAAGAACCAAAAGGATCTCGCAGCACATTCGTGATATCGAAGCCGAAGAATCTAGCGTACTGACCGGAAACAGTAAACCATCGGTGTTGACACCTAAGCTGACGATTTCGGACACGGACAGGAGCAAACCCTCGGAGAAGGAATGAATCTTACCGTACCCTGAAAGCGAAGTGTCTGTTTTCACACGCGGTCGCAAGCAAAAGCGAATGTGTTTTTTTTTATTTATTATATAAAAATTAGTTTACTAGAAAATTTGAATCCAACTGACGACTAGCGCCAGCACTGACTGATAAAACGAACACAAACGAATCACGTTTAAATTAGAGATAAGCGTGAGAATAAGATGAAGATTATGATGTAGGTGAAAATGAGTGCTAAGCAGTTCGCGAGCTGCAACGAGGCTCGGCTGATTTACTTATGCACGCGAAAACGGAAAATCGTTGGATCATATGGAAGTCTTTAGTCGACTGACGATGGTTGATAGATGGAAAATAAACGAACGCGTAGTAGTCGTTAGACCGTAGTAAATGCGCCTTTGGTTATGCTAGAGAAAGCCATGAATGATGTACTATCACTGGTACCGCCTGTAATTGCATATATGTCTCAAGTGCATAAAGTTGATATTGTGAAAATTACAGTCTACAATTTATAAAGTGGATGTTCCAAGTCAATCTAGGCCAACAATTGAAATAGGTGGAACAACCAAACGAAAACAATGGCTTAAAACGCAAATTTTCCTAGAATCAAAAACACATCCACGCAATCCAGGTCCAGTGAGATCATTTTCTTGGGAGAAGTAGTATTTAAATTCATTCAAATCGTAGAGTGGACGGTTATAACTTTACACACTTCGAGAGAACACTGAGGACGCACACTACAAACTTCGAAAGACCGCCTGGCTGTCTTTCCCCCGTAACGAAGATGTTGAGGAATTTCGCGGGTACGCTTTCAATTGTCCATCCGAAGACTTTAAACCTCGTTATTCCAATAAGGTTGAGGTTTATTTTCTGTGTATGTAGGCGTATGTACATGTGCTATTTCAGGCGTATGTACATGTGCTATTTCAAAGACGCGACTTCGCAGATGATCGTATTCCGCTTTATATAGAAGATGGAAATGGCTTCATCAATATAGCATTTCTTTGATTTTCCTATGTTTCGAGGGGTACATCGATTAGCTTGGGACCGAAGAGAGTACCAGAGCTGAGCCAAAAAGTTGAGCACGTTTCTTCGGGACCTTCTAATCTTAGAGTTCTTCTTCTTCTTCGCATTTCAAGCTTATGGCTTATCGCATATTAGCTTATTGCGTGCTCTCAACTTAGTGTTCTAGATGCACTTCCACAGTTATTAGACCGGACCGGGAATCGAACCCAGCCACTTCCAGCATACTCTTGCTTTGTAGCTGCGCCTTTACCGACTGAGCTAAGGGAGGCCCCTAGTCTTAGAGTTACCTCTATGCTAATACTGATCAACACATACTATCGATGACAGAGGCTCTATTTGCTCGAGAATTACCTAGTATGACTGTTGAAACCAAACCAAATAAGTTTAGCTGCATACCTTATAAACTATCCTGGAGCTAAAACTGTCTATTTGGAATGAATCCATAATCCTTTCATACTCATTGACTAAATTATAAATTTTATATTGGGCTTCATCGGTGCCACCATCACAACTGCCAAGGTCTACATGCAACTCCTATAGACGTTGGAAGATACAGGCGGCAAAAGATTAGATTGGGATTAACCGTTGCCTTCGACGATGGATGAAGAGTCGGAAAAGATTGCACGTCCAACTACCGATCCTCAACATTATCCGGATAGATCGTTTCGTAGTCATTCATTCCTCGAGAGGTACAAATCTAGATTCTATGCGTCACGAATGTGAATATGAAGGCATACGGTGGATGTTTCAACATTCGAAGTCATGATAAGGATGGAAACGTCAAGGTTCACTTCCAAATCCAAAGTTGATCCACTCAAACCCCAGTCAATTCCTCGATTGAAGCTTTGCGGAGCACTGCTAGCAGCACAAGTTGACGAGAAAACTTTACCAAAGACTACTTTTCCGGCTAAATTCCTATTCTGAACTACTGTGCAGGGGTGTCGGGGTATCAAAACAGGCGTTTTATTATATGCGCTGAAATGGTTGATTTAAGAAGTTGGACGTCTTGAAGAATGTATCTTGGTATGCAAATCTCCATCTTATTATCAGCAGTTTGGTGATTAATCACCCAACAACTAAAATGTAATAGTTATTTTTGTAAGCCCGTGTACCGCATTTAAAAAAAGGCTAGTTCGTTTATTTGGAAGGCTCAATCGCGTTAACTTTACGGAGCATCTTGCTATCAACAATATTTGATACGTTATTTTATACGAAAATGACTCAACTTCCAAATCATAAACAAGCAAAAACAGTTCAGTAATGATATGAAAGTACATGAAAAATGATAAACAATTGTGAAGAAATCAAGCCGCCCCCTCACGACCCTGTACCAAAATACTTACACTGAATATTCCTAGATTCCGTCATGTATATTGATGATAGCAATCTGCCGTTTTGGGCAAAGTTGCGTTATTTGACAGTTTAAACAACTTTAAGTAGTTCAGAATAGGAATTTAGCCGGAAAAGTCCCAGAGCTTTTGCTGTAATATTTAGACGTTACGTGTCTTTGGTAAAGTTTTCTCGAGAACTTGTGCTGCTAGCAGTGCTCCGCAAAGCTTCAATCAAGGAATTGACTGGGGTTTGAGTGGATCAACTTTGGATTTGGAAGTGAACCTTGTCGTTTCCATCCCAACTAACAATTTTAACTAAAGGCTGACTCACGTGCTAGCCGCGCGCGAGAGGCGTACTAATTTACTTTTACGCCTCTAGTGTTGGGAATCCAAAATCTTTGACAGTGGTTTATTTACACTTATGTAGAGAACAACGGGTGCAAGTTTGATCAAAGTAGTCGATCGCGTTTAGAAATAACGTCAAATGGAACTCGAAAGAAGAAAAAATATTGTGCACAAACACCTGATAAATCCGGAGAGCTGACTAAAGTGCTGCAGATGCCGAAAACACCTGAGTGTGGAAAGGAAACAGCGGACCTACGAAAAACCGGGAGCCAGGGATCGTCAGGTGTTGAGGTGCGTTAAAGCCAAACCAGGTCTTTCGATCCGAGATGTGGCCAGAAGATACAACGCCTACATTCAAACGGTGGGGAACATCCTTGCCAGGGAAGGATGCAAGTCGTACAATGCCAGTAAACATCCGAACCACATGAAGCAGAATTCCGTGGCCAAAAAAAAGTGCAAGGCTGCACTTTGCTCGATGACGAAACATATGACAAACTCGATTTTAAGCAGCTTCCCGGTCAAAAATTTTACATCGCGATTGGACGTGGAGATGTGCTGGGATTTGGCAAGCGATTTGCAGTTGTGGTCTGAAAACGGAACCATTCGTCACATCCTCGACGATTACATCCCAAGTTTACATCGAAGAATGCCTGAAAAAGCGTGTATTGCCGTCCATCCGCAAGCATAGGGGCAAAGTCCAACTGCCACTACTCCAAGGTGGTTCTGGAATGGTATGCTGCCAACAAGATCGATTTTGTCCCCAAACTGATAAATCCTCCGAATTTCCTGAAATTTCGACCTATCGAAAAATACTGGGCAATTTCAAAGCAGCGACTTCGACAAAGCGGCGGGGCAGTCAAGGACATCCAGCAAATGCGGGCAAAATGGAAGAAATGCGCTGATTCCGTGGCCGTTTCCACTGTACGGGCGCTGATTGGCTCCATCAAGAGAAAGGTTAGAGATTTCGTTCGAACTGGAGAAACGTAACCATCTAATGCTGTAACTTTGAAGCTTTAATAAAAGTACTGTAAAGCAACCATTAATGGTCTTTTTTAAACTTATTGAATCACGAATTACAGGTTTTTTTTTGGAACTCTGCGAAAATTGCGCTCTTTTCAATTTGCGGGACCTTTGCTGACACCAAACTTCCATCTCTTATGGTTCATGAGTTATGATTTTTTTTAAACAATCAAGTTAGAGTGGTCCCTGAAAATTGGTTTTCAATGAATATCTTTTCATGCGTTCATTTTTCGTAAAACAAATGTTCTAGACACTTTTAGAACTTTTAATCAAAAATATTTTTGCTGAAGCAACCAAGTTGCTATCTTTTTTATTGGAAAGTTAAAGGTGATTTTTTCAAAAAAAACTGGCATTTTTTTAATTGTCAATATCTCTTAAAGGAGCGAACCGATTTTCAAGTTTTTAATTCCATTCGAAAGATCATTATTTTGTTCATTTAATTTAAAAAAAAATAATATTTTTATGCAAAAAACTGCTGTAACTCTTCAAATGAAGAAGATAGTATCTTAATTGCTTCGGCAAAAATGTGCGGCATCAAAAGTTCTAAAAGTGTCTACAACAAAGTTTTTGCGAAAAATCAATGTATGAAAAGATAATTAAAGATAGCCTTTATTCTACGGTTTACGCTAGCTTATATTATAAAACATCAAACATTTTACCAATTATATGGACCACCCTAATTTCACTAACACGAAAAAATTGGCCAAAAAATATGAAGAAACTTTCCGATAGTAAAGTGCATTGATGTTTGCAGCATATCTGAGATATGACACAAACATCAAAACGGTCAAGCCTACTGTGTTGCATTTGCCATAAAGATGATTCTGTGATATTATTCGAGTTTAAATAAATATATTCAAACAGTGATGCATTTCGTGAATCTACAGGGGTGGAAGGATGCATGGACATACCGTACCTAACGTTCCGAGTTTTGTAAGAGTGAATTTACCAATCATATGTGATGTAATGAATAATAATAATGAATTATATAATATAGTATAATAGAAGGATTTCACCAAATGCCTCCAATGTTCCCCAAATTTCTAATTTAATGAGCAAAACAGAACTAGAAAAAAACTGCATTCACAACCGAAGCTGAACCAAAATTATCACGTGCCACATAATCACAACCAGGGCTGAAAAAATCACTTAAATTCATCAAAGTTCACTATGGATGAAAAATTCATTTCATAGTGAATGCTGGTGATTTTTTCATGATTTTTTCAACCCTGATCACAACACACCACGTGTGATCAAGTTGATATTAAATTAATTAAAAACCGGCGACGACGATGATGAACTGTCCAAAACATAAGATCAGTGAAAAAACGGTAGTACAGAAGCTATTCACTTGGAATGACCTCGGCGAAAAAAATCAACATGATTTCCGAAACTAACCGAGATTGCGAACACGTCCCATTTCACCGCCGATATCACTAGTACTCGGAAATTAAGGATGAAAAGATTAAGACGGTTCGCTTCACGAGGGCCGATATGAACTAATCCGGTTTGTGGTAGAGCTTGCATAGAATATTCCGAAAGTAGTCTTGAGTACTTCTTGGCGGTCTGATACAATCCGGATACTGTGGAATTCTATTCAGAGAGTCTCTGTTCTTCATCAATATCACTTTACTATGCAAAAATCCGGAAAACCCAAGGGGTGGTCACTCTACACAATTATTTTGCGCCAACTTTTTTTCAGTGTGACTCAGTGTGCCGCAGCTGTTCCAGTGGCGCTGCAGTGGCGAGAAGTCATTGAACTGACTTTTGTGAATACTCGCGTCACTTTTCAAATAGACCAATGTAACATATCCACCATTTTGAGAAAATCGAAGTTGAAGTTCGACAGACTATTAATTTAACTGTTTAAAAACAATACATTTTGCAATACTATTTTTAATGTAGCCAGTGTATAATAACGTTGAAAATTCAGAAGAAACGGTAAAATCACAATTTTACTATGAATTTCATGCTACAACATAGAAAAAACCACATAGGACGTTTTGACAAGTCGAGTTGTACATCGGACATGTTACATTGGACGATTTTTCTCAATGACATAATCAATGAGTGTTACATTGGACGTTTTGTCTACATGATACTAGATTCCCTTTCACAGATTTCAGAGTATAGTACCTTACTTTAGATTGGCCCCGCCTTTGGAAAATGAGCACCAATCATGTTAGGCAGTCCGAATGACCGAAGTAACAATCATGTACCCATCATGTCAAACTGTGCATTGGACAATTTTTTACCTATGATTATCTTAAATAAATGAAAGTGAATTTGGATGGATGTTTTTGTATGACATACAATGATAGAAGAGCAACAGTTTGTATCGCTTAACTCGGTTTGTTTAAATTTGTTACATTGGTCTATTTGAAAAGTGACGCGAGAATAATGCCTTGTTTGGCAACCCGGTATTTTAACAGCGCTTGTTTTTGTTTTGTTTTTCGAAACCTGAGATGACCCGGGAGTAGGAAGGACATTTCCGTTCCGAGATACGGACCTTGCGGGTGGAGTTTCACTGAGCTTCACCTAGTACGAGTGAGCGGTTATTATCGTAGGCTGTCCCGAGTGATAAGTGAAGCAAACAAAGTTCAATTTCGATCATGGCGTTCAATGGAAAAGGTGCCGGCAGTGGCCAGGACGGACCGCACAACAAGCGCCTCTGTACCGGCCAGGAGATGATCGAGACGGTTCCGCTCAATCGCCGGAACAACAACAACCTCAACGTAACATGAGTCTCGGCAAAAACGCGAGGTAGCAACCCGGCCCAACCATATCCTGCTCCGTTGCACCACGCTCCTACTATCTTCGGCAGAAGGCCCACCCCGTACAACGACCTTCAATCATTAGTCAACCATGGTCCTAAACTAGCCCTCCTGGGAGCCGATGGAGGAAACGGATTTGCACAGAATCTTTAACCGCCTGAGTTTAATCCGTCTGAAAAATGGAAACCAACACCGGAACACATGTCGAACTGATGAAGGAAGCACCGCTGAACCGAAACGGACCAGCCAACTTCATTCAACCGGCACAGCAACAGGGCGCAGTGATGATGGTCAACGGACTCGATAACAACACAGTCATCACCGATAAGCTGTACAATCTGTTCTGCCTGTACGAAAATATTGTCAGGATAAAGTTCCTGAAGACCAAAGAGCATCCAGCACTTGAACAACATTCCAATTCAGATTGCATTTTCCAAGCAGAACTACTTGTCAGAGTCGACCAACCCCTACGCTCTGCTGGACAATTCGATCAGCTTCAAGGACTACAGCGCCTCCAAGAACAATCGCTTCCTTACCCGAGCAAGGTTCTTCACTTCTTCAATACCCCACCCGGTATGTCCGAGGATCTGCTGCTGACTGCATTCACCACCAAGGACTGCCACCCGTCGCAAGTGCGAATGTTCCCGCTGAAATCGGAACGTTCCTCTTCCGGATTGGTTGAGTTCCCGAGCGTAGCCCTGGCGGTGAATGTTATCATGAAGAGCAACCACAGCGCGATCGATCACAAACGCACAAAATTCCCGTTCATTATGAAGCTGTGCTTCTCCTCGTCCAAGACGATTAACGGTGCTTGGAGCAACGAGAGCACCGAAAACATGGGCATGGCACTGGCACTTGGCAACCCAATGTCGGCAGCGGCCGCGACAGTCTCCGCCGTGGCAGCAGCGTCCGGTGGTGTGACGCCCATTTCGGTGACGGGCGATTATCTCAAATCCAAATACGATGACCAATGTAAGATGAAGTTCATGTCCTTAGAAAGAAAACAAAACCGGTTGTGTTTTTAAAAAAAAATGATTATATTGTGGCAACATCAATAACACATTTTGACACATGCACATTGCGCAGACGCAGAAAAAGTTCAGTGTTACTTTAAAGATTAGAAAAATTGGAACCATGGGTACCAAACAGTGCCAATTACTCTGCCTAGGTGTACCCAAGCTTGTTTTTGACACACTGTGCGGAGTGACCAACCCCTTGGGAAAACCACAAAACCAAAAATATCTCAGTTCAAGAAATATATTCTACTGATCATTTTCTGTATAATCAAGATATTTGCATGAGCATTAACATGAGCATTGACGACCATATATTTCAGTAGTTACTACGCCGTGATTGACTAGATTTAGCGAAATTTGCGCATAAAACCATATGAATGGAACTTGGGATTAGCAATCCAGTGTGTAAAATCAGGCGAATCTTTGGTTTTAGGTCAATAACAGCGCAACCAAGTCCGTACGGTCATCGGGGAGGGATAAAATTGTTAGTTCGACACCTGTTGCTTCCAGAGACCGAGTATATCTCTGCATCTCCACGGTTGTCACAGGAAAGACGTTTTTGTTAGTGGGCAGGGTGAATTAGATCTATTTTGGTGGTAACTGTAACTAGCTTTAGCTAGGTAATTAGAAGATTATAGATCTATTGCAGATTCAGTATAAATCTTCACAAGCAACAGGCTCCGTATGTTCATACTGCTAATTGACTGTCCTTAGTTGATTTTTATAGGATAACTAGATGTGGTTGTAAAAAGCAAACCTTTACACTGCAACAAACTTTGGCATCGACAATGAGCCAGGAAGTAATGAAAAGAAAAACGCATGTCTGTGGAAAAGTAACATATGATTAACTATCTAATTACGTGAAAATATGTAACATCACATACGAACGTGCCAGACAGTACCCAAAATTCTGCTCCAGTTATAAGTAGCTTCCGCTATCATTCTATCAGAACAGTTTAGAAAACACTAATCATTTATACAGACGAACCATGCGTGTCAAATTACTTTGATGGCATATGAACTTCCTAATTTCATTCATGCAAATGAGTGACATGCTATCACATTTTTGTTTTATGTCCATGCTATCAAATTAAAATAAATGCTACTGAGTTGAAAAGCTGTACAAAGTTTTATCGAGGCTGATGAGATAGCAAGCAAAAATTTAGTTTGTTCATTAATCGTGAATATCTCAATCTTACTAAAACACGATAACATGCATATTTTCACATTTCGTACACTCATATAGGGGAAATGTTGACTTCGGCAATACCTTAACCTTTTATCGTCAGGGGGGTAAACAAAGTCCTAGAGTACTCAAATTTGGCCAATAGATGCTCTGAAACACAATGTATCCACATACCAAAATTGAGCTCTCAAGGACGTTGTTTACCCCCCTGATGATAATAGGATAAGGTATTGCCGAAGCCAACATTTCCCCTAAGTTCAGTACAATCGTGGAAATTATTAAGTGGGACAATGCATCTCATCTTGAGATTGTATTGAGTAAATATTGAGTTTGTCATGCTTGCACACAATACGAAAGCAAAAATGATAGTTCAGAGCAGGGTAAAGAATCAGTTAAGGCGTAACAGTCACAGAAGAAGAGCTTGATGGCACCAACAGCACGTAAGCTTTCAATTTCACTCGCAACGTAAAAAAATCACGTAGGCGGTGCCGCATCCAATACCATTAGAATTCCTTTTGTAGCGTGTTGTGTATCGCACATGCTCAACGTTCTGCAAATGCGCGTGAATGTACAACCGCATACTTTATACCCAGTGCCTTATTCTTCCTTACGTCTAAATGCGGTGTAGGTCGCCATTAGAATAGAACGCGCAATGTCCATTCGAGTCCGTAAAGAAGTGATTTGAACAAAGCTGACGAACGCGAATCATCACTCGAATGCGTGTAATTTGAGCGGACTAGACGTAGATAATGGAACTTGGAATCCTAGGTGTTCAAGTTTAAGCCAATGATGATATTTCTATTCATATTTCAGCTTGATTTTCTTCATTTTCTTCTGTTTTCTTCCGATGAACAAATTACTCCATGGTGTCTCTGAAAGAAAAACTTATTTAGCAGAAGGTCACCCCTTTTGTATGAGACTATCGGGGGGGGGGGGGGGGGGTCAAGAACAATTTTTAATTTGTTCGTATTTTTCTGTGTAAATCACGTCCAAAGCTTGACTCTCTCGACCATTGAAGCCCAAATAATGTATGGAAAAATTACCTCCGATAGAACATTTTGAAATGAAAGAGGGGCACCTAAGATTTTGATCGGTGGGTGTTTCAGCGATAATATTGTTTTATAATAATGTTATCCGACTCGAATATAATTTAATATGAAAAACTTATTTTTCGAAAATATCTCATATGGAATGGTATGCAATTTCAATAATTAGAGACAAAATCTTATAAAATAATATTATATTGTTTTAAATTATCCGACTTTTAGAACTTCGTAAAACTAGGGGACTGATTCCAGCGAGAATTTCTTATGCACCAATCGATTCAGGTCGACGAACTGAGACCATGTCTGCATTTGTGTGTATGTTTTTCGAAATCATCTTCAACAAATTTGACCAAACTAACGTCAAATGAAACGAATCATCGTGCCATAGAATACAATCTATCCACGGGTTCCGGAGAAATGGATAAGTCATTTTCCGAAGAGCACGTATCTGGAAGGTAGATATAACATAAATCGTGTCAGTCCCAACATGCGACACAGCAAATCACTTGCGAATTTCAAAAAAAAATCATTGGTATGTGATCTGGGTATCCTCAAGAAAGTGGTTAGAATTTGTGATGGGAAACTTCAAAGCACGAACAAATAAAAAAAATAATAAAAATAAAGATTATTGATTGCCTTATTGAGTGGTCATAATCACAGTAACCATACTAGAACATGCTGTGGATGCCCCCGAAGAAGGTAGGAGAATCTGACATGAGTCAAAATCGCATGCAATTGGCGTTGACGGCACCGCCGAAAAATCGTCTCTTCTAGCAAAGATTGACAGTTTCTTATGGGAATTTTCAGTGGAGTGAAAGGATAGTACGAAGTCCGCCATGTTTCACGCACAGTTTGACGTTAGCTATGGATTTTACCATAGGAGTAAAGAGCTACAGAGTCGCCGTCAACGCCAATAGCAAATAGCAATACATCAAATCGAATAGGGTTACGGATGTAAACTACACACTTAGAAAAAATGATGTAAATTTAGGTGCTCTGAGCATACGACATATACGAGCGTCAATTTTGACATCAAATTGAGTCGTAATAGACGTGAAATTCAGCTCAATCAAACGTACTTTCGAGCTTTACATCTCATCCATTATATCAAAGATGGATTCCGTCACATGTAAGATTAGGTATTTCTAAATGTGTAGGCTTAACCCCTCAATTCGGCCTATCAAGCAAATAAATTCTTTTTCAGCAATAAATCCAAATTTTAATGACACAGAAAGTTCACTACCCATTTGAAATTTTTTTTTTCGATTTTCAGAACGCTTTTTCTTCGATTTAATAAAAATTACTACTAAACTGAAGAGAGTTATGTGTGGCTGCACACTTATAAAAAAATCATGTAAATTTAGTGGCTCTGAGAGTGACATATACGAGCGTCAATTTTGACATAAATTTGAGTCATAGCAGAAGCGAAATAAAGCTCAATCAAACGTACTTTTCGTCGAGCATCTTATCTTTTATGTCAAAGATGGAATCCGTCACGTGTAACTTCTAAGTGTGTGGTATAACAGTGACCCAGAGTTGAAAAAAACAATTAGCCATCTCATTTCAAATTCAACTGGTCCACCTTAATGTCTTGCACATAAAAATATTGCCCAAATAAATGAAAAAAAAAACTGTTCCAAAGACACTATGTACCTAGAAACGGATTTGCAACAAAAGGCTGAACCTCGTAAGGCTGAATATTCAAAAGGCTGAATAACGATAGACTGAAACTTCCATTTTGATTGCTTTACAAGTCATGTCGCTAGGTTTTCTAAGTCTTCTTTTCGCGCATTGCCAGTAATGGGGGTTACGAATCGTGCTGTTAATTGTCATATCATTCGATTGAAAATGAACCAATACAACCATTCAATCACTTCTGTGAAAACGAATTCTCACGTGACCATAATTTGAAGAGCCCCTTTCTCATTTGAAGCTCATCGTCACTGTCTTAATGTCGTGTTGTGTTGTTGGGTCAATTTTGGGTTTATGACGGATCAATGTTGGGTCGACATCGGGTTGGTGTTTGGTAGAAGTCAGGTTTGTGTCGGTTTGGCTTAGCTTTTCCGCCTGAATATCGACAAGAACTCCGTTTATGTGTAGGTTACACTCAATTGAATGATATCAAGCGTTTCTCAAATGAGAATGATCCATGCCTTCGTCAAATGACTAAGCAGGTCAAAGGAGGTCCCTTTTGATAGCGGATAGCTGCTTTTCTCATTTTGATGAACCAAATACACCCCAAGCCCAAATGTAACATTTTTACGTAAGAACTTATTTCGGGTACTACTCCCGTACTACTCCGTACAATTCAGAGTCACAAACAGTGTTCGGAAAATCATTCTCAAATCTCATTCATTGAGCCTCCCTGCGAGAATAAACTCACGTGTGAAGCGGCAAACAAAATTCACGTTTGAGATTCTCATGCATATTCACGCACTCACACTCACAACACCAAAAAATCATTCCAGCTTTAAACTCATAAAAACCACTCAAACGTCAATTGATATCATGCCTATGCATGTTGTGTAAGTTTTCCAACTCCTGATGCACAAACAATAGTAATAACAATGAATAACGCCAAAATATAAAGCAACACTCACGACAGCCATTTCAATGATATATTTAAAAGAATAGCCCAGCATCCTTTCCATCGAAATTAGAGAGATGGAGAGGTAACATTGGTCTCATGTTAAACAACTATGAATGAATTAATCATTCTCACATCTCCTTGAATTAGCTAGAGTTACAGCAGAGGGCTGATAGGTATTCAGATTCAAACTTTTATTGATTATTTAGCTGCCCATATGATGTATTCTAGAATAGCTAAGTTGGCAAGGCAAGCGGCTGGTGATCGGAAGGTCGTGGTTCGAATCCCATATAACAACATGTGTGTATGTGTGTAATAAAATGTCTAGTATACTTGTGTGGTGGGGTGGGTGCGTGCTTCGACAAAAATAATGACACAACAATCACTAACGAAGAACAACCCTGCTCTGTGTCGTTCTTATTTTCGGATTAATTATCCCGCAGTTGGATAATCGTGTTATAAATTTATAATAGTGTCTAATTAAACCTTATTTCACATGATAATCAAGCGTCTATATACACCTTTATACCATTGCTGTTTAAGGAAGTAATGATGTATAATAAATGCTGAATAATCAAAAAAAAATTATCGAATAAGCTCTGTTACAACATTTCGATGTTGTGGTTGAATAAATTCTCCAGATTTGTGTGAACAAAGCCTGAACAGAAGTTATTATTAAAAATAGTACAAGTAGTATTAAGCATGTAGTTTAATAAAGTCGTCAAGAAGTAGTTTTTTCAATAGGCAATTGTTTGTTGGGCTGTTCTCACTTTCTTGGACATTGGAATTGATTTTAGGGTTTTAAGACTAACCGTAGAAAATGTAGTATTTCAATCCAGTAAATCTTAGAAATTTTTCTAAGTGTGATTTTTTTTTTAGATTTTCCTTAATTCAAGAGATTTCATAATTACCCTTTGGAGACAAAACTCTCTGAAAATCTCAATACTAGATAAAGAATAAAATCCACTTGATTTTAGAACGCTCATTATTTCAATTTAATTAACTTTTCAAATGTAATATTTTTAAGGATTTTTCCTTGTTTTGAACATGAGCAGTTCTTTGAAGTTGTACTATAATTGTGAATTTTTGAACCATTAACATTTAAATTATTATTTCAACTGTTAAAAGCTCATCGTTATTATAGCATACAGGGTTACTTCCACTCACTTGCTATAAAAAAATGTTTTTCGGAATTATGAAATCATGAAATAGTATAATGCTAATTAGTACTTGTAAGTTACAAGAAGAGGTCATGAAGTATATGTTTGACACACAAAATCTGTCAATATTGCTTTCAGTGCGTCACAATCAGCGATTTTACGACTCGTGAGCGCTCACTCTGAGCGAACGCTCACGAATCATAAGATCGCTGATTGTGACGCTCTGAAAGCGAAATTGACAGGTTACTTTACACCCTAATGATTGCATAATTCCGAAAAATATTTTTTTATAGCAAGTGAGTGAAAGCAACCCTGATAGCATACCAAGCTTATTAATTTTAAGTTGTTTTTTTATCGATGTAGAACAAGTGTAAAATATTTATTAAGATTTAAAAGGTTCAAATTCAGCAGTTTGGAAAAAAAAATCATAATGTTGGAATTAAAATTACATTTCTTTCAATTTTAGAACTTCATTACCTTTGTGATGTTTGGCACCATGAATAAAAAAGGAAAGTTACTTTTTTCCTTAATTATAAAGCTTTCCTCAAGCGTATACAGTAATGACCCGATTTTGTCAGCCCCCTTTTTGAAATTATTTTCTATTGTTCTACGACTTCCATGTGCATTTTCAATGGTCTTATTGCATTCAGGCATACCTTGAACATCCATCTTAAAGATGAATGAGAAAGATTTGAAATTCCGGTTATGTGAAATTATTCAACGAGAAAAGTCTGATGGCTGACAAAATCGGGACATTACTGTATAAGTGGAAAATCAAAATTATTTTTCATTTCCAGATGAAGCAGCTGCAGTTTGAGATTTTAACGGGATTTCCCTTCTTTAAACATCAACAGTTTCACCCCCAAGCTCTTTCCCTGATCCCATCCTTCGACAATGTACACCTTTAACCTCTGGTAAGGCACGAGTATTCGGCCTACCTCATACTAGACATAGAAATTTGTAAATTTTGTTACAAACAATGAACAATGCTCGATGAACATTTCAAATGGTCCTATCTGCATTGATCGATTCTCTTCATCAACTTTCTCTTTTCATAACCACTGCTACGCAAACAGATTTCGCACTAATTCTACCACATAGTTTGATAAAGGAGGTTCTTATCTAGCGTACAAAACGTCAAATACAACAGGGAAAGGTTTTTCAGCTGAGTTATTGACGAAAGAGAAAGTCGATGAAGAGAATCGATCAATGCAGATAGGACCTTTTGAAATGTTTATCTAGAATGTATTATCGACTCCGTAATGACGAACTTGACATACAAAATAGACATGAGCAGTTCTTTCGAGTTTTACTTGTACAAAACATGATGTAACATTATATTGCCTGCCCTGAATTTCATCGCAGTTCCATGGAGATCATCGCAGTTCTACGAAGTTTCCTGAAAATCTGTGAAGCTCCTTGAATTTCTACAACGTTTAGTGAACTTTTACTTAGTTCTCCGAACTAATACTGAAATCATGATGTTGTAATTAAAACTTAATTTAATAAATCCTGAACCAAACAAAATAGCGGCACCGGTGGTGTAGTGGTAAGCGTGATTGCCTCTCAACCCAAAAGGCCTGGGTTCAATCCCAGTCAGCGCCGCCGGGATGTTCTGAGGCATAAAATCTCTGATCACGCCTTCCTTCGGAAGGGAAGTAAAGCCGTTGGTACCCGATTCATGAGTTGATGGGTCGATAGGTAGGGGTCGGTAGCATTGGTACTCAGTACGGAAAACAAGGTCAACGGAAAACAAATCAATGAAAAAAAAAAACAAACAAAACAGCCCCCACCCCCCGGTCGGGAATCTGAAAAGAATCGGTGAAGACATCTGAAAACATTTTGTCCGTCTCGATGAAGATATTTTCAATATACACCTGAAATCCCTGTTCGATACAGCTGATGCGTAAAATACAGAATAATGAAGCAATTTTCTACAGTATGAGGTACTTTTAACCCAAGTAGAAGTAAAATGTGTGCAAAGTTCCACCTGGCGAAAAGTGACAACAATATCATCAAATCATGAACGTGACTTCCACCTTACATTGCACACCGCTTCGCAAAAATGTACTCAGCTCCTGCAAGCACCACCACCGCATCAGGGAAGTATAGAGGCGTACCCTCACGGCTGTCGATGATGATAAAACGGTTATTTGTTTATTTCAATAGTGTACTATAATTTTCAGAACCATCGGTAAGGCACGATCAGTCCCATACCACCCGTTGACCAACAAACACACAACAGTCTGCTATTTGAACGTTCGCCAAGCAGCAATCCGTCAATACGGTCGGCCGGTAGTTGTGATCATCCGCGCGGTACGAGAAAGTTGACGATTCACGGCTCCCAGCACTGTCGAGATAGTGCACTCTTACTTGTTATACCTATGCAGTTATAGAATCACCCTCACTCCCAGGCTACCAGGAAAATCAAAAGCCAAACGACATACGTGAGCTGGGAATCAGTATCGACCAAACCGCGGCGCGATTCGAGCCTGTGTGCGCGCATTTTCAACATCATCATTGTTCTGATCGCATTCATCGTCTCCGCAAACGTCTCGCGAATCGTCTTGCATCATCCAAACGGGGGTGATCTTCCAGAATATTAGCTAATACTAAGTGTATTGAAAAGTGTATTGCTTCGGGTTGGGAAAGGCCGGTTCCCCGTTTTAAAATTGCTTGTGGTTCAATCGGACGTTGAATTCTTCAGTAAACAAAACTCAGTGAACGATATTCCTCTGCAGGGTGGATCGGCAATCAATGTGTCAAATCATCGAAGGTAATTGTGCATTTCGAGGGTGAACTTTTCACTCGATCAACGGGCAATCAACGGCGGAAAAGGTGCTCCGACACGCAGCGAGAATGCATCGCATAAGGTACGGCTTGTAGTGAGAGACGAATAATTAAAGCTTTATATCAGTGACGCGCAAAATTAGTGCTATCATTCAGTGGAATCTTCCCTCGAGCGTGTAGTGCAAACATGCTTATATGTATTAGAGATAAAAAAAAATAACCACAGACTGGCGGTGAGATGACCTTGACTGGAGTGTATGCAAGTTTGTGGAAACGGACTAAGTTAATGTGATACAATATATTTAAATGTTTTTAAACCATGAAAAAGCGCATTGATCCGAGGGAAATAATGTGGGAAACGAGATCACATGATTTTCGTTAGACAGAAGTGGAACTTGATAATCAGTGGGATCATATGAACTGTAAAAACTCTGGGCTGTAATGACAACGATTGGACATTGCATCATGAGGCGCACCAACCATCAACCGGTGCAAAATAAACTGGAAAGCTGTATTCAACTCATCCAATGAAATGCAGTTCCGGTTGAAGATCAAAACTCGTACATAAACACAACTCATGGTGGATGCATGTCGTGATAATTAAAGCCACGTGCACTGGCTCAACGTGTATTTGTACGATCAATACGTTGCCCCGATTTATCGGATTATTATTTTTTTATTTGCATCGGTTTTGGGAGAAATAATTCCTACTACGGGTAGTGGTTTGACTTTTTTGAAAATATTTAAACATGCGCAAAAAAATGGCGAATACTAATGATTAAAGTTTGGGGCACTCAAAAAATACACCCAACCGGAAAATGTAAGGGACCTAGCACTACTTCGACCAGTAAATTGATCTATTGTAGTATATCCCGTATATCTTAGTTTAGTGCATGTCGTATTACTCCATCACTATTGAGAAATGATGAAGTATTCGATTTTTTTACAGTTGCCACTCTTGCATTTATCGCAAGGATCCGACTCTAATTTAAAGGTACCGCTATTTATACCCGTCGGAGTGTTGAAACACCCTCCAAAGGCGCGCCCCTTTGTTAGTCAAAATTGGATTCCTTAGCAACAAAATTAAGGTATGACACCGATAATGACCATGCATCAGAACCCTAGTCTTAACCACTTCAAACTAGGGAACAACGAATAGAAGATTAGGAATCACATATATGAAGACTAACTAACTAATTTTTCCTTGTTTCAAGATCAGTCTCGGTGGACAAAGCCGAGTCTTGTCACTATCAACAAGGCATAAAAAGTAACAAGGACTAAGATGTGTTCCTTGGATTACTGAAAAATCCTGTTCCCCTAGTTTGAAGTAGTCATGACTAGGAATCGGTGGTAGATCTTACATCCCGTAACGTACCACGAAAAGGTGATCTACCCACGTTACGGGGATAGTGTTATATGGTCGTCGGGTGGTTTTTTTTTTTAAATGCTGTTATCAGTTTATTTTCATATTAGCTTATTGTTCGAACAATGTTTGGTTCCCCAAATGCACAGTAGCTAAATTTGATTACATTTGATGTTCATGCCATTTGCTTTACGTGTATGAAAGAGTTTTTGTACGATTTTTCTTTGCAAATTACTACAGTCAACTCTTCCTAACTCGATATTGAAGGGACCATCAAGTTAGGGACGACATCCAGTTAAGATGGTAAATTAAAAAAAATAGAAGTGGTGATCGCCGACATTTTCCTAATACATTAAAGTACAGGAACTTCACAGTGCAAAATTAACGACCTTCATTCAGTTTTCCTGACATAACTGACCTTTCTTCTTCAGGACCCCTCGTAGCACTTTGGATGCCAGTATAGTAGCGCTGTCAGCACGTGCCCTCGACCGTCGACCGCTTCCTCGCCACTTCTCCTGGTTTTCCTTGATGGATTTCTTGCGGGGTGGCGATGGAAATCATCTGGCCACACGTCCCGAGTCACCGAGTGTGATGTCGTACTCAGCTTCGTCGCTTCGTCTCGGGAATGAACTTTACTAGGCCGTCGGTTGGTGGTACGTCTACTTGGTCTTTATCTACAAAGCTATTCTGTACAAAAATACAGAGGGGTCATAAAAGTTGCAAATACAACCTGTTATCAAAATGGCAGAAATATGAAAAGTATTCTTGAGGAATTTCAAGGAGACTAGAAAGAAATTCTAAGTCAAAGGAATCTAAGGAAAGCATTAGGTTAATTCTTTGGATAATTCAAAGATATAAAAATATCATCAAATGGTAATTCTGAAATGAATTCCAAATTGCGAGGAAACGTCCTGGAGCATTTTAAAGAATCTCTAAGAGGAACTCAAATAAAATTTAGAGGATAATTCCCATAAATATCCAATACTCAACAAAACCAAGTAAATTCTGACAAGAGTGACAAAGCAATCATGATAACAAATTTTAATAAATTTCAAGAGAATTGTAATAAGAATTCGAAAGGTAATTGAATCTGAAGATGATTCAATTCCAAAGGAATTCTAATGAAAATTTTATATTCTCGACAGCAGTAGTTTTGTGTGGAATTCCAGGTAAGTTCAAACTCACAACATCTGAGGATAATGTTATAGCAGTTTTGAGGAGAATTCAACTGAATTTAAAAAAATACATAACAAAAAATTTTAAGATTTTTTTTTTTTTTTTTTTTTATTATAGTCACTTTAAAGCTCTTGGGTCATTCGTGACTTGTCCGGGGGTGAGATTTGAACTCGTGACTTTGGCGTGAGAGGTATGGATGCTAACCACTACGCCGGGGTCGCCCCCAAATTTTTTTTTTTTTTTTTTTTTTTTTTTTTTTTTTTTTTTTTTTTAAGTTAAATTATAACGACATTTTAAGGAAAATTAAAGAATTTTTTTTTAAATTTTAGAAAGAATTATGGAAATAATTTTGAAAATGGACAGGGAAAAATTCTGATGAAAATAGCAAGGAAACCCAGTTACAACCAAGGGCGTCCAGGGTGTCGACTCAATGAAGAAACAACATTTCCTGATAGTCCCTGATTTTCCAACAATTTTCGAAAATTCCAGGTGTCTACCCGTTTTTGGCAACACAACATTGCAGGCTTTTATTTGATTGAGAGTTCTTTTCATAACTCTTCTAAAAAAATTTTGAAATTCTCTTTGGAAGTCGCTTGAAAATGTCTTTTTAACAGTCCAGAAATTATCTGTAGAATACTCCAAAAAAATATTAAAATCCGCAAAAAAAATATTAAATCAGTCTGAGTTATATAGTGATCAACTTCACCTCAATGATCAACTTCAACTAACGGCACCAAATGCAATTTCTCATGACTACTTGAATCTTATTTTCAGAGCAAACTTCAACCCAAATAGGTTTCACAAAACAAACGATTAAATTGATGTTTGTCAAAAAAACAAACAGACGCTATCTTTGTACCCGATGCAATCAAAAACAAACACGATATCATCCACCTTTTATAGGTCGGTCACCAAAAAGTCACTGTTTACAAGTAGAAGTCACTAAAGCCACTATCGCCATATCCCAAATTAATTCAAATCTCCTAACAAACTAATTGTAGTGTTTCCAATGGATCACATCATTCGAGCAGTGACGTTTTCTACCACTCAAACGTTGCCGTGGAACAATATTTTTATTTTATTTTTTTCTTAAACCTCGAGAAAATAGGGTAAATAAGCCTGAGCCTGAGCTAGAGAAATCAGGAATTTATCGTTTATTTCTTTTAATTACTGGTAGAAGACTGTCTCAAACATTCCATGCGATAATGGTCCTAAGGTTATTTCTGTAGTTCCCAGGATGTATTTGCGTGTTTGAAGCCCCTCTGAAAACTCTAAAACTTCTCAGAACTTCCACGACCTTATCAGTTTTCAAAACACCAATTGTATATGTACTCGTTCAAACCTCGTCTCTGAAGCTCTCTGAACCTCGTCTGAAGTATTCTAAACAGTTTTGAAGCTTGCAGATTCTCTTTTAAGCAGCTTAAAGATCTATGTTTAGCTCATCCAACCTCTCAAATTGTTTATAAGTTTCAATGTTTCTTCTTTTTCTCTGAGAAATTTAGAGAACTTCAGTGAACTCCAGGGAAGTCTTCCAAATTGAAGATACATTCACTTAATTTCAAAGAAGATCAATCTCCTCATTGGCGTAACTACGGGGGCCTACAGCCCCCCTATGATTAATTTAGCCCCCTCTTGTAATGTTGCTACAATTACTTATTTTACAAAATACATCAAAATTGTTCACTACCGTATGCGTGATAATGTTTGCACCAATGTCAAAATTAACAAAAAAATATTGAAAATTTCGTTTTCGAGTTTTTTTTTATTTATTCAAAGGTGGGATGTTTCTCAGAGTCTTAAACTATGTTAATCATCGATCGAGTTTCCACTTGCTGCAATTACGGCCTCCACACGCTTCCGGAATGCACGGCAGTTTCTAATAATGTAGTCTGGATCCATTTCTCTCCAGGTACGGGTCAATGATTGTCTGAGGCATGCTTGACATGCACAGTTGTACACACCAACTGCTCATTTGTTAATAACTTTTCACTCAGTTGGTGAAAATTGTGTTTTTTTAAAGTAATTGATAGATAAGGATCATAATTTACTATAGATCTGCAAAGAGTAAGTAAATCTTAACATTTGAATCAACACCAATGTATGTTTACATTCAAAGTCCGAGATGTGCAGCGAGCATTTCTCACTTCATTTTTACAACGCAAAAACAAATACAGTTTATTACTAGAACTAAAAACTACTTTTTTAAAGTATATATAACAAGTTTAAACTCTATTCTATCTACTGCTTCAAAACGAACTATGTTTCGTCAACTGTGTGCTAAGTTATTAGTAAATGAGCAGTTCGTGACCAAAACTGTGTATGCCAAGCATGGTCTGAGGCTTGCTGTACTCGGGTGACGTTTAGAACAGGCCTTGGCCTTCATGACGCGCCATATTGAGTAATCCAGCGGATTAAGATCGGGGCTGGATGGCGGCCACATATCCTTCGCCCAGAACGGAAGATGTTCCTGCAACCACTTCTGAGTGCGGTTCGAGGTGTGGCACGGAGCCCTATCTTGTTGAAATACAACATTTGGCTTCGGACCGTACTGTTCTTTGATCCACGGAAGAACATACTTACTTAAAATCCCGATGTAGACCTTCGTGTTGACCTTGTCGCCTTCTGGAATGAACACCGGGTCCATTTTTTTGCCATCGGATGCCACCAATCTAAACACCATAACGCTAGCAGGATGCTTGGACAGATACACGTTCTTGTGCTCGTTGGCCACGTCTTTTACCGGAAGAGAACTAATATACCGGTCGGTTCTGGAATTTGATACGGGATAGACGGTAAACATGCTCTCGTCGGTGAACAGGATTACCGGGTTTTTTCGCATAAGGAAGTTCAAGATCTTCATGCATCGTTCGACTCGTAGCTCCCGGATGCGGTTGGTAATCATGTGAGTTTTTTTCCGTGCCCTCGACTTCGCCCCGCAATCTTCCTTTACGATCTTCCGTGCCGTAAAGTCACTGATCCCGTGTTCCTTTGTCATTTTCCTTATGGATCGCACTGGATTCACCCGAATCTTCCTTTTGATAGCAGCGATAACCCTAAGAACCCGAGCTGACCTCGGACGACCTGTGGCCACCTTCGCGGATAGTTGTCCTTTCTTTTTTCGGTCTTAAACCCTTTTGACGGTCCACCGGGACACTCCCACGGCGATTGAAATGTCTTTTTGCAACATTTGCGCGTGAGACAAATCACGAATACGCTGCCACTTCGTCATGGTGCAACTGTCAAACTAAGTAAATCATTTTCTTTTAAACACAGCCTACTACCATAGAGGTAACTCTAAGACTAGAAGGTCCCGAAATAACGTGCTCAACTTTTTGGCTCAGCTCTGGTACTCTCTTCGGTCCCAAGCTAATCGATTCACCCCTCGAAATATAGGAAAAACCAATAACCCCTCATTTTATCTGTCAAACTTTCATAGCGAATCAAAACAAACATTGCGTAGTACTAGAATTTCGACTAGGATGGGGTACGTTAATCGTTTGCTTGGGACCAATAGGCTAGTCAAGTAGTGAGCCAGTTTAAAATTGTTAGTTTCGTATTGATTGTTGCTACTACGGTATGAGATATAGGTTACGTGCATGCAAAGAAAACCAAGGCATTGTATGCACAGGTGAAACGGGAACCATATTTGTACGATGGTGAAAACATTATCACGCATACGGTAATTAGGATCTTCAAAAATTACAGGAAATTTAGGAAACTTTCAGATGTCCAGTAGACTGATGCCATATTTGAAATTATTGCTCTACTGTGCTCAAACGGTTTGGGTCCTGATTAGCCTTCCAAAAGTTGAACTCATTTAGTAAGAAACTGACTTGGCACAAACCAGTTCAAGTTTATATAGAAATAACTATGGGAAATCATTTTTTTGTTCATATCTATCTAAAAATTCACCATATCTCTCTGTTTTGGAAAATTACAGCTATCCTTTTAGGAAATTTTACCAGCTACAACTTTGTTGAGGATCAATGTAAAGAACATAAGTTTTTAATGATTCAAGCAACTAATGTCTTGTGATTATGCTCAGTCAACTGTTCAGCAGGCAACATTGGTGTTTCTGGCGCTTAGAAAATCATGGCTACTATGTCACAGTCATAATACAGTCTTGCCCACCAAACAGCTGCTTGATAATTACATATGAGTATCAGTCTCTTGAACAATTAATAACTATTTAAATTGACATTGGACTGAAAATCAGTTTTGCGCAAAGTTGTTGATGAGTAAATTTTCCATAAGAATAGTTAGAGAACATTTTAACAGCTCAATATGGAAAAGGCTAGAAGTCAAAGTTTGGATATCCCACAGTAATTTATTAGTAAAGGGCGAATACGAAATTATTGCAACACTTACAACTGGCTGTATCTTTATTCCTACTAGGCGGAAATTAACCAAACTTTGCATAGTTTCGCTGTCAGTCTCACAGTGTATTGTTTACATCCTGTAAATTGCGTTATTGTCTGTTTAGATGCGGTTAAGATTGAAGTGAGTCGAATGAAAACGCGTGAAAAGCGTAAAAAAAGGTTGTACGCTCACATGGAAAATTCGGAGTTGTTCCATCGTGCTTTAGGAAAAAATACTGCATATCAATCATTCAACCGTATCAAGAGTTATAAACAGGTTCAAGGTCCAAATGACATTGGATCACAAGCACGGAGTAGGAAGGCCCAGTTTCCAGCATGTAGAAAAACGGAGGGAAAGGTGAAGGGTAATTTCACCCGAATCACAACATTTCAACACGTGATGTTGCCAAAAACGGTCGGTGTTTCGCAAAGTTACTTGCAGAAGGTCAAGGCAAGAGCTGGATTACATGCATTCAAGGTTCAAAACTTCCCAAACCAAGATGAACGCCAGCAAATTGTTGCCAAAACCTACGCAAGTAAGTTCTACACGGAAATGTTGGCCAGATATAGTTGCTTTGTGAAAGATAATGAAACATACGTCAAAGCTGACTTCCAACAAATACCAGGAGAGGAGTTTTACACCTGAAAATATAAGTTCCAAGTGAATGATCGTTTCAAGAAAAAGAAAATTTCGCAATCAAAATATCTTATTTGTGGAAAAAGAAGTAAAATATTAGTTACAAAGGGCACCATCGATGGTGAAATTTACAAAAATAATGCCTCCAAAAACATCTGTGGCCATTTTTGAGCAGCACAGTTAATAACCGGACTTAGCTTCATGTCAGTATTCTAAAAGCGTGCTGGAATGGTATGAGACTTATTTTGTGCATGTTGTCCCAAGGACATGAATCCACCGAACTGTCCAGAACTACGTCCAATCGAAACCTATTGGGCCATGATGAACGGAAACTCAGAAATACCAAGGAAAAAGTAAAGGATGCAAATGACACGCGGAGGAAATAAATAAAAAATGAGAAAAAGGTACCGGCTACGACCAAACAACCCCCAAAAATAGATCCAATATATGTATCCTGAGCTAAAAACATGTATAGAACCACCCTACAAATTTGGTTTTTATCTGATAAATACGTGAAATTTGAGAGAAAATTAAAAGTGTTGCAATAATTTCGTGTTCACCCTTTAATATAAACTTTAAATAGTTTGTACCAAGACAGTTTCTTACCAAACGAGTAAAAGTTTTGGGAGGCTAATCAGGACACGATTTAGAACTGCTTGAGCATTGTGGAGTGAAAATTTCAAATTTTGCATCAGCCTAATGTCCAGAAAACCTGAACAAAACTTACGAACTCTCATCAATGTTTTGAAATCATTTTTTTATATGAAATGATTGAGGATATCTACTTCTGACATAACTTTGAAACAACATGCCCTCCCCCTCCTGGTCTGACTATTGACTTCTCGACGCAACATCTCACTTATACAACCTAGCTAGCGCCTGTAAAATCGGTTTGTTTATTATTTTCAACCACGAAATCAGCTGTCAAAGTGTTCGACTTGACAGCGGTTTGTTTATTATTTTCAACCAGTAAAATGCATGTATTAGTGAAACTTCTCACTAATACTAACGGTGGTAGAGAACTCTATTCGAAATTCCTGATGCAGACAAATACAGCCAATTCATAAGCTTCCATACAGACAAATTGCAAAACTTTCTGGCATCCCGGGTTACGAATGCCAGCTTAAAAGTGCCACCCAAATTTTCAGCATCTATCACCAAAAGAGCAGTCTATGACGGTATTGAAAGCTGTGGAATACACAACTTTCGTGAGATTCTTACTAGAGTGTGTATGAGAGTCACGTCAAGAGAAAAACAGTGGAACTCGCAACACGATTTTCGAAAGCTTCCCTTCCCTTTCTCTTGGCAACAGAGACTTCTGCATCAACTTCAAATTACTTCTAGCGAGAAATCAAATTAACGGCTGTAGTCAATCATTGTATCAGAAAATTTGTCGAATTATATGAACAACAAATATTACAAATTCTCATTACTTATCATTACCAAACGTATCCCATGACAATTTAAAACTCACTGCGTATATTCCGCTCATCTATCTAAAACAACATGGGCAGGACAGTAAATCTGAATCCTGATGTGGGCGTCTTAGTAGAATACCTGTATAAAGTATCTAGTATTGCTCAACAACCTTCAAAAGATGCGTCCTCTCATGCTCTTGAACTCTATTGAAGATGGTTCTCAAAATAAAATCGAAATTAAATTAGAGCAAAAAACTTGATTTAATAGATTTTGATAAAGAAGATTTTTTTTTCAGCGAATTAACATGAAATTAAATTATCTGTAACTTTGAAGCAGCAAATATTCCTCTTAACCTTAACAATAAAAAGTAATAAAAATAACTTTGTAATAATAGAACCACCCTAGTCACCATATACATCAAAAGGAATATTTTTTCTTGTAGACAAACTCTCCAAGAAGTCAAACCTCTAGAGTGCAAAGGTTTTCGGTATATCGAGTTTTGTCGTGACATTTTGGGATTTAGACCATATTGCTGTGTGAAAATTTCAGGCTAATTGGCAAGTTCGTTCGAATGTCGCCGGGGAATACCACAAGGTGGTGGCCTTTTCTCCCTGTTGATCAATATTGCACTAGGTGTTTTATGAAAATAGGTGTGTTCAATGATTTTAGCAGAAAACCCAACTAAAGTGTGAAGCAGGAAAGATTGGGCAGCCATACGATCGTCTTTAAAATGTGTGACCAACCATGAATTTGAGTAATGAAAAATACGTAACAAGAGCATAGGGAATGTCTAAATCGATCATAAATATCCTCATTTGTCAGTGGCCCTTAAGGAACCATTTAATTTTATTTGTTTTAAGCTTAATACAGTGTTTCAGTTAGTTTCATTTTGGTGCGGTAAACAACCGCAATCTACTTGTTAATATTAATTGTCATAACCAGCCCCAGCGTCTTACCGGTCAATTCCATTTCGTCAATTCATCATCCAATAATTGTCCTCAGCCAATACCTGACCGGCGCTATATCCATGTAGATTCCATACTTGCTGATGTCACACTTCAGTGTAATATGGTTCACCTGCCCTCGTGATACGATGCCCCGCAAGAAGTACTGATTTCCACGCAGCATCGCAAATCCACTTCCTGAATCACCATTACATGGACTGGCACCATTGCCGTCCGCGCAGAAATTCTTCGATGCGCTCGAGAAGACCCTAGCCAAATTTGCACTGCACTGTCTTTTTGAAACAATTCTAGCAACAAAGTGATTCGGCGTTGAGGTTGACCCTAGCTCTGTGACACCCCAACCGGCAACCACTCCGCTCATATCAACGACCTTGTCCAAATTATCATCGCCTTTCCACAAACAGATGGGTATTATGTGGGGAGTAAGTGGCATTGTCCTGAACAACTGTAACACCGCTATATCCAATTCATTCGTGGGATCATCATCTACATAGTTAGGATGGGGGAAAATTTTTTGGATACCGGAGAATTCAGCCGAATCCTCGAAAAAGTTATCAATATTATGCATTCCAACTGCAGCCAGAAGTTTCTCCGGACGAATGAGATCAAATTCCAAAAACACACAATGACCGGCCGTCACCAGATGACGCATAGTAACCAAGCTACTCCCACATACGTAAATTGGTTTTTCTCCAGTCAAGTTCGGCTTGTAAAAGATGGGAGCAATCCAGGGAAATTGGCCTTTTTCCGTACGCTTGCCATTGATTGCAAAACGAGTTAAGCCAACAACTGGTTTTCCGCAAACACTGAAAAAAATCGTACTCATTTTAATACAACACTTTCTCCACGAATTCAGACACATACTTCTTATTGCTAATCACCGGTTGAGGCAGCTGGGGAATTTTCAAAGCTACATCGAACAGCTTTGGCAATGCAATGATCTGTGGTGCTTGCTTTTGCTGATTCATAACCCTCTGGCTTACAATGCTGGTTGACTTGAACTGAGTTTCCAACGTATGCTGAAGTCGAACAGTGGTCACTATTTGCCCATTCGCTCGGGGCCCACTGCAAATTATCTTTCCATTGAGCGTTATCGACTTGACCGATGGGATGGTATTTCTTAAGGGAAAAATGACCTTATACTGCGCCGGAAGTCCATTCAGAATGTCTTTCCCGGTTTGTTTTCGGGAATTGATCAATGCAATAGAGCCATAGTTGTTCTGAAAATGAAGGAAAATGTCAAAACCTGCTTCTTACTTGAGAGCAGTTCCACGCCAAACGGCGAATCGATCGGAATGTCAAAAACGTCATTTTGAAAAATAAATCAAGATTGAAAATTACCGAGTTTTAGCACAAATGTGAATGATTGTCAGTCGATCTGAAAATATGCAAAGATTCATGCAAATCTGAGATTCATTTTTGTTTTTCTATTTGGGCTGGAACTGCTCCTGACGCTAGATGTAATTTAATATGCACAGTCGCCATAGATAATCGCCATTAGCATACATTAATTCAAAAAAAAAACTCACCGTTGTCAGTTGAGCGGGTATCGACAGCTCTACAATCACCTTCACAGACTGGCCCACGCGCAAGTCTGGGATCTCGATGTAGCCAAAAATCTGCCGCGTCTGTGGATCCAGCTGATAGGTGAACACATCCGGACAAGGTGATTGGACGTACTGTCCGCTGGATGAACGAAAGCACATAATCAGTATCACACAGAACGAAACACCAATCACCGATGATAGCCTGCGAGATGGTGCCATGGTGATCGGTCGTGTGATGCTCTAAAATACGTGCGTTCCGCTTCGCGCGCAGATGAAATGAAGACTAACTCTGAAATCTGTGGCTCAGAAATTAAGGTTGAGCAAAGATCTATCTATGAGCACCAAAAATCCCCGAATACAAGATCCAAGCTTCGTTTTTATAGCTTAATGTTGCGTGGTCTATCTAGTTACTAAATCTATAGAAAACGCACTATTTACTTCCGCAAATAAAAAAAACAAATTTTTGCACTTATATTCGGGAATATTTGGCGCTCATATATCCATCGCTCATAGATAGATAGATAGATAGATGAATGTTTAAAATTTCTGGACGAAATGTGTAAGCTGCCAAAATCTCATGTGGTTCATAGAACTCTCACCATTTCAGCTTTCCTTGCACATGCAAGCGAATTCACAAGCTGATTTTGTCGTATAAACATAATCAGCTGGAAACGTGAGAACAAAGGATTCAAATGTGCCAACATGTGCCAGCGAATTCACCAGCTGTTTTTTGCAATGTAAACATTATCATGCAGTATACGGAAAAACTTATAGCGAATTCGTTTATTATTCAGTTCCAACCTGGATCGGGTATCAGGATTGGGTCTGCTTGTTTTCTGACAAACGTCAGTTTGCTCGTTTGTTTTTAAAACCTAGCTCAGGTTGAGGTTCGCACTGACAAAAAGTTCGGTTCCAACCCCGATAATAAACGAATTCGCTATTAAAAATTCACATCCCATGCTTGAGATGGGCCACCTAAGAGTTTTGCCTTGTGAGTTTCAACTGCGCAATAATCACCGATGAGATGTTCGGATCAAAAATGCAATGCTTTATGTTTAGGCGTAGTTCATTGTTATTTTAGTCCTATAATTGAATTACTGAATGGAAAACTAACAAAACTTGCATGAGCATGCTATCAATTGCCGTTTGAGCGGTATTTATGAGTTTTAAGTTGAAATGAAATTTGGCGTTGTGAGTGTGAGTGCGTGAAATGCATGAGAAACTCTAGCGTGAGATTTATTTTGTAAGTTCACACACGAGTTTATTCTCTCAGGAGGGCTCTATGAATGAGATTTGAACATTATTTTCCAATCACTGATCAGCTGGAAGCGTAAGAAGTGTCACCGATACCATGAATAAAATTCATTCCAAAGTGGGATCGACAAAATCAAAATTAAACTCGAGTCTAAATTGAGAAAAAATTCAAAATATTTCATAGGTCAAACGATAGGACCTTACTTTACCAAGCAAGCTAAGGCCTTGTTGTCCTCTTCTCTGAAGAAGTCGTTTGCACTCAACTCAATCCATGGCCACACGTCGCCAACCTCGTAGTCTGCGAAGGGTCCGAAACTCACCTTCTACTTGTTCAATCCAACTTGCCCGCAGTGCGCCTCTTCTCCTTGTTCCTGTTGGGTCGCTTTCGAGAACCATTTTCACTGGGTCGTCGTCCGGCATTCTTACGACGTGCATAGCCCAATTTTTGCAATGTGGACGATGGCTGATTCTCAGCAGCTGATGCAATTGGTGGTTCATTCACTCCCTCCAGGTTCCGCCATCCTTCTGCCCTGCACCATAGATAGTACGCAACACCTTCCGCTTGAAAACACCAAGGGTACGTTACTCCTCCACGAGAATAGTCCAGTCTCGTGGCCGTAGAGGACCACCGGTCTAATCAGCGTCTTGTAGATAGTCAACTTCGTGCGGCGGCGAATTTTATTCGACCGGAGCGTCTTCCGGAGTCTAAAGTAGGCACGATTCCCTGCCATAATGCGTCTTTGAATTTCTCTGCTGATATCATTTTCGGCGGTCATCAGTGAACCCATATACATGACCACCTCGATTTCGTCACCATCAATCTGAACTCGGGCTAGGAGGCTAACATTGTCTTCCCTAGAACCTCTTCCTCTCATGTATTTCGTCGTCAATACGTTGATGGCAAGTCCAATCCGTCTAGCTTCAGCCTTCAATGTGATGTACGTTCCCGCCATCGTCTCAAAGTTCCGTGCCATGATGTCGATGACATCGGCGAAGCCAAGAAACTGGATGAACCTCTTGAATATCCTGCCACTCTTGTCTATCGCAGCTCTTCTTATCACATCTTCTAATGCAAAGTTGGATAGCAGACACGAAAATCCATCACCTTGCCATAACCCCCTTTGAGATTCAAAGGAACAGAGCGTCCCCGATTCTCGAACAACGCACATCACTCGATCCATCGTCGCCTTGACCAATCGCGTCAGTTTATCCGGAAATCTAAACTCGTGCATATAGCTGATCTCTATCGATTTTGTCGTATGCGGATTTGAAATCGATAAACAAATTATGAGTGGGCAGAATCGCAAAAATTTGGTCCGTGGTAGGGGCACCCATGAATTCCACCTGGTATTTCCCCACAAAGTCAACTGCAAATGGTGACAGGTGGCAGCATAGAATTTGGGAGAGATCCTTGTAGGCAGCAATCCAACTTCCAATCCCTTTTGGTAGATTGGGCATAACACACCGTTCATCCACTCCTCCGGTAATATCTTCTCCCCCCAAATCTTGGCAATTACCCATTACAGCGTTCTAGCCAGTGCTTCACCACCGTATTTTAATAGTTCACTTGGTAGCTGATCTACATCAGTTGCTTTGTTGTTCTTCAGCCGACCGATCTCCTCCTCAACTTCTTGAAGATCTGTAGTCTTCTGCGCGTGCTCCAAGTTCTGTTGCTGTGCCACCTTCGATTTCTGTTGCATCACCGTTGAGGTGCTCGTTATAGTACTGCTTCCGCCTCTCAATTACCTCACACTCGTTCGAGAGAAGGCGTCCAAGTCCTTGCACATATCGGCTTGCGGCAAGTAGCCTTTGCGCGAACTATTTAGCTTCTCGTAGAATTTCCGTGTGTCGTTTACGTTATTCTCATCTACTAACAGTTTACATTCGCCGTCAAACCAGTCATTTCTTCGGTCCGGGATCGCAGTACCTAGCGAGGGGGACGACTCTATCTACGATGCAGGAAATATTGTGTTTTGCTGTGGCTAGCTGCGCGTACGCTGAGTAGATAGAAAGAAGATTTATCACGATTTTGAAGATTTCCTGCAAAAAGATGATACGCGATGCAAGTAGATGCGAGAAATGAAGGAAGATTTTTTGAAGATTTATTCGCTAGTGTGAGATTTATTGAGCATCTAAATTTGAGATTTAGATGTGTCGCCCCCCTCGGTACCTAGTGCCGTTGCAGCAGTACTACCTATGGTGGTCCCTCCAGCCATCTTCAATAGATTAACCACAGTGGTAAATTTGGAACTGGTTACTCACTGATTTTTCATATCTGCGCCCCCTCGCCATAACATTTTAAAACATTAAATAATTTGGATATGGGCTTTTCAGTCTTTCGGCATGGCCTCTTCATAGGATATAAAAAAGTTGTACCGTCATTCGTTCAACTAAAAAATTATAACGATTTTATGCTAAAACAAGTCCTCGTGATGAAGCCCTGGACCGAAACGTTGACTATGATAAAACTTTAAACAACACTTTTTCTTGAAGGCAAAAAAAAACTGAAACAAAATTACTATTTCTTCAAGTTTATTCAGCTTCCCCAAAACAATCCAGACTTTTCTGAAATTTTCGGAACAGCGCTAAAGATTTCGATCTATCCTGAAGCTCCCGCAGTTTTCCTGACGTTTTAGGAACCTCCTTGAAGCTCATGGAACTTCTCTTAAAATTTATTACCTTTTCAGAAGATCGCCAAATTTTCAAAAATGTTCTCGAATTATCTCTTATGTTTCTTAATTTGACATGAACTTCTCGGAATTCTCATGCGTTGGAACAGTTTCCCTGATATACTTGGAACTTCCGTGAAAATTCCGCAAATTTTCTCAAATCTTTGGAACATTCATGAAATTCTCCGAATATTCCATAATAATTCGAAATTCCTTGAAAGATTCTGCAAACTGCTCTGAAGTGCACTGATCCATCTCAAAATACTCGTAACATCCCTGAACATAAAGAAACTGCTTGAAAATCTTCTCTAAAGTTATTTGAACTTTGCTAAAGTTATTTGAGCTTTGCTAACGTTTTCGGAAATTCCCTGAGTTGCTTTGAATTTCTGTAAAGTTCCTACAATTTCCTTGAAGTCGATTGAACTGTCCTAGGATTCTCTGATGTTGCTTAAAGATCTCGAAGCTTCTCTGAAGTTCTTGCAATTCTCCTAAAGCCCATACCCGCATGTCAGTCCCATTTGAAAAATCGCCATGTTGAGAAAAAGACGACTTTGTACATTTAGGGGAAATGGCTCTAATGTTGGCCTATGGATTTAAGATTGAGCCCATCGTAAAAAATCTGCTATTTATCAAATTTATCTAGATGAACGCGTCATTGGGACGGTAAAAATGGATATTTTTGGTCGCTATTGAAAGTTTAGTCGATTGCTGAATTTATGTATGGGCCCAAATTAGGGACATTAAGGCCGACATTATATCAATTTCCCCTATATAATTTGTTGTTTTCTCGTTGATTCTAGTTATCAAGTACAGCACCACTGCTGGAATTATTGTCTCTATTCTTCATTGATTTGTTTTCCGTTCTGAGCACCAATGCTACCGAAGCCAGGAAAGCAGCTCCCACACTTGAACCCTACCTATCGACCCATCAACTCATGAACCGGGGACCAAAGGCTTTACTTCCCGAAGGAAGGCGTGATCAGAGATGTTATGCCTCAGAACATCCCGGTGGCGCCAACTGGGATTGAACCCAGGCCTGCTGCTGGAGTTAGTGGTAATCACACTTACCACTACACACCCAGTGGCGCCTTTGCTGCTGGAATTTGTTGCATTTCAACATGACAATATCGTTTGTAACTAAAATATAATTAAAACATTTGTCTATCACGAGAAAAATGAGCCGAAATCATATGGGACTGGTAGGCAAGTACTTTCCTTGACGAGTGCAACAGTACTCGCAAACCAGTCCCATTCTTCACTCAAAAAATTTCACACGTTCGATCGAAGTGTTTAAACACTTGATTTTTTAAATGCAGAATCACATTTACTTTAAGTGTATTTCATCTTGGTTCGATGTGTTATACACGTTAATTTAGAGTGTTTCAAACTTTGAAATGTTGAAATTTTTTCACTTTCTATTCAAGTGTATTGCACATTGAATCACGCTACTGTTCAAAACAGATGGATTTAAAGTGTTTTGCATTTCAATACGATGTGAAATGCTTGCTCAGAAAGGTAAACATCGAAAACAAGAGTTGTGACTTTATCCTATTAACCCGCATCATATATGAGAACAACCCTGGCACAGTGAGATAGAACGAAGACTCCGGCAGCAGCACAACAGACTCTGGCAACAGGCCAACAGTCCATGATCGAATCCCAAATCAGACCCATTAAAAAGATATGTGAAAGCTCTGGCCTCTGGCAGTTTTGATTATATATTTGTCGTTTCAATTTTTAGAGTCGGTAAAGTAGAAGTCGATAAAGTAGAATATTGTAGAATATTGAACTATGGTGTGCAAAGCTATTGATATCACCATATGAGACACATAGAATCCAAGTGTGTCACAATTCAAAACCATAGTGTTCAGGCATGGTTCATCAACCTGGTCTATACAAGGTGTGGAGATCTAGCCCTCACGTATGTGTTGGTAGAGGAAAAAAGGTAAACATTTCGGGAGAGGATGATCACGACGTCATAGCAGTCGAAAGCAAATTTGTGAAATATGAAGTACAGCAAATTCTAGATATGTTTGCATGATGATTGCGCTTGCTTGTATGCTTTTGTAGAGTATCCGGGAAATATCAGCAGGCGTTTTGTATTTTTATAGTAACTCCTTACTTGGAAACGGACAAAAACTCACAAGCAGGCTGCTTTTTCATGGTATATAGTGTGCTAATAAAAAAATCAATACATTATCGCAATATTCAGTGGGAAAACATTCATAACTTTTGGCGTCATACAGAAATTCTATAATTCACATTCAATTTCCAATGCAAACGCAAATTGAAACAAACGTTACGACGTAACTACGAGCGTGTTTGAGCGTATGAAAGAAGTAAATCGTGCGAAGCCGACTGAAAGGCGAGTGAAAAACGAACTGCACCAATACGTACAGGCCATCAATTCCACACCTTGTATAGACCAGGTTGATGGTTCATAGTATAAGATTCACACATGAAATGGATGTGTTTCACAATAAGCGCAAAATTAAGTGTGAGACACATGATGATGGCGTGTGGAATTTTTTGAGTGTTCGATACAATCGATGTAAATATTTACATTATCTGACAAATCTCAGGTGATCATGACAGCAGTTCTCGATAACTTTTTCAAAGGGACGTATCAGCTTTTGAAAACAATGCATTTGATCGTCGATTTGACGTAACTGGTAGCTCGCACACACTTACTAACACCACTAGCAGGTAGGGGGAAATTTCCCCTATCTGATGGTAGTGTTAGCATGCGTGCGCGAGCTACCAGTTACGCCAAATCGACGATCAAATGCATTGTTTACAAAAGCTGATACGTCCCTTTGAAAAGTTATCGAGAGTTGGTCTCTTTTCTTCATTCATATTGTTTTCAATAATCAAACGTCATGATTACCTGGGTTTTGTCAAAAAAGGTAAATATTTACGTTGTTTGTACCAAAGAATTACGCACTATCGCTTGAGTTGTTTACCTCGGATATTTCGAAATTAACATTGGATTAGTACTTTTCGCGTTGCATGTAAGTTAGCTTTTGTGGCAAAATGCCAGCTCTTGAAGCAATTAAACTATACTGTGGTGACAGTGGGAGTTCAGAAGACGAATTCTACGGATTTGACTCGGAGCAGTTCCCGGAAGTTTACCGCACAGCTATTTTCCAGATATGGAAGATGAAACTATTGGTCAGATTGATGACGATAAAGCTATCGGTGATAACAACAACTCTACAAAGGATTCTGTGACCAGGGAAAGCATCGATTCGGAAGGAAGCTATTTTGTCGAACAGCTCAGAAAAAAAACCGCAAAAGAACGAAAAAAGAACAACGTAAAGCTGCTGAGGAAAAAAAACGTCGCATTCCCATCCACCGAAATATGTACCCTGTGGTTGCCGAAAAGGTTGTCCGGACAATGTTTCCAGGATGACCGAACCTTCATCGTGCATTTGGAAATTAAATATCGCCAGAAAGACTGTATTTTTTCGTGAAGGGTGTTGCTGTTAAAAGGAGAAGTACACACCGTTATCACCATTGGCTACGGTTAAGAAATATAAGTTAATTATTGAAAGATCATTTAACTAACATTTAATTTGAGCAATCCAACTAAATTGCTCAAAATTTATTTCTCTCTCGCTTGGTGAAGACTTCTTCTTTGAAACATGAACAGCTGCTGCTATTGAACAATCTAACTGAGCAGACAGATAAATGCTGTTGAAGAATGAGCAGTTCCACGCCAAATGACGAATCGATCAATGATGCAACCTTCTCCGAATTGCGTGACATTTTGCATATTTGTTTTTGTTATGGTCAATTATTAACAGCTGTATATGTATGTGTGTGTATTCGCTCGTGCTTCACAGTACACACTAAGATTTTGTTTCCGTGTTCGGTAAATTTTACCGAAATCAGAACAGCTGAACGTTCGGTAAAACTTTGACCTTTATTTTAAAGGCTATTGAATTTGAAAATAATATCAAAACATGTTCAACCTTGTTTAAATAATCAAATCTTGTAATTTTAGTGGAGATTTAGTTTCAAAGTAGCTGTAAAGCAATTGAATTGAATTACATAAATTTTACCGAAAATTTCAGCTGTTCAGATTTCGGTAAAAATTACCGAAGTCGGCGTTAATTTCTAAATGTGTAAAGATATTCAAAACGAACGCAATTGACCACTTTGTCAAGCAGTTTTAGCGTGACTTTCTACTAGAAACACTGGAATAAGAGACCAGCGGAGAAAAAAAACATGAATTTGGCAACAAGATAAACATCAAAGCAATCCTGGCATCACTTGCATTTGTAACTGCTTGCTAGTGACTTCGCAAATGCACCGACGAGCAAGTTCATGAGTGATTGTTAAACGATTTTAATACTCCTCCCTAATTGAAGCAAACCATTTGTAAACATTGCGGATTGGAACCGCTTTTGACAGTTTGATTGGAATCATAACAGTGTCTCCGCTGGTCTCTTATTCCAGTGTTTCTACTTTCTACCAGCGATTTCACAAAACTGGACCAACTAATTTCTATTTTTCTATAAAACGCACAAATGTTGGCTTTTTTTTTCTTGTGCTTCTAGAAGAAAAAAATCACAAAATAATGTTTTATTTCAAAGTTTGAGTGGTAGTAAACGTCATTTTAACTGCTTGAATGAAGTGGTTAATTCATCTATAAACTGTGTTGAAGCGCTACTCCTTGCATGTGATGGTAAATGATAGAAACAGACACTGGTGCTGAAATTTCGTCCAACTATACAGTTTACCGTTGTGAATCACAAAGGTAAACTGTATAGTTGGACGAAATTTCAGCACTATCTGCTCGAAACCAAGTTTCCGTGAAGACGAGCACATCGTAGTCGCAGCTAGAAAGAAGCAAACGTAACTGCACAATTTTGGTTCGCATGACTCTAACATTCTGATAGTATACAGAAATGAGGCGTTGATAAGATGTTTTTTTCTTTCGAATCTAGGGGCATCGGAGGGATTATCACCAACGTTGTGGAACATTGTATTGTAATTTCAATTCTTCTTCATAATATAAGCAGTTTAAGGGATCTTGAACATCTTGGTTTGGCAATACAACATAAAATTTATTTGTGCTGCACTTCACAACGCTGCAAGTATTTGAAAATATAAACATTACCAGCGATCGCAAAAAAAAAATCTCTGAAAATTACATAAATTTATTTAATATTTTGTTTTAGTAAGCATTAAATTTTTTAAGGAAACGCATATTATGTATTGAAATTCAATTAAAAACATCAAAGTAAGAAATAATTGACCTAAAACGATGTATACCCTGCACACTTTAATAACGAAGAAAACATTTCCTTCAGTGCATGCAATTCTGGGTAATAGTACATTTGGGACATTCAGAGTGATTCAGCTCTAAGTTCATTAATAACCTTCATTTCACCAAAAGCTCTTGATCATCAATTTACACGACAGAAGCTCTCGCATGCACTCGTTCACATTGTATCACTAAAATATTCACTCTCCCAGCGGATCCTCGTCAACCCATCCTCAATAAATTTGAAAAGTCACGTATCGATCATTTCCATGTGCAGCAACACATCTACAAAGCATGACAGCCTCACTCGCAGCACGTCCGGGAACGATTGCTACTCAAAACTATGCCAAAACCATACATCCCCCCTTCCCGTTCGGTTCTGCAAACCAGCACATTTTCTTCACTAACAATTTATTTCTTATCTTGTTTGTCTTTCAGGCTACGCCCATTATGGGAGCATTCCTGGATGATACCGCTGGGTATGCTACTGATGTTTGCAGCCCTAGGTCGACACGTGAACGCTGATGAATGCGTTAGCACAAAGAGCGACCGTCACCGTACGATCATGGAGCAGTTCCGGAATTCGCACAACTGGAACGGGATCATAACGGAGGATTCACTCAACTTGCACGAAAACCAAACGGAGCTGGACTTATCGAAGCAAGGATTCCACGAGGTTCACTGGCATTTGAGCAGCATCGTTGGCGAAGGCTATGATGTGTTCGAATTGGACATGTCGTACAACAACATTGAAGTGCTGAATGAGTTGACTTTTTTAAAGTTTTACTCCTTGGAAATGCTGAATCTGTCGAACAATAGGCTTACTGTCATCAACAATTTGACGTTTGGATCATTGATTCGGCTAATGGAGCTTGATCTGTCGTACAACCTGATCCACACGATCGACAAGGAAGCATTTAATCGCATGTATGGGCTGGAATCATTGAATCTACGGGAAAATTGCCTCATTACGCTGAATGAACATCAGTTTCACTTCAATGACCACTTGTCTTCTCTTCAATTAGATCACAATCAAATTTCCTTTCTTCCACCGGTTTTGTTCGATTCCCTAGCCATGGTGGAAGAGGTGTTTGAAATTGATCTCTCCTACAATAATTTTCATCGAATGCCCTACATCGAAACAAAGGAAATAGGTTTGCTGAAAATTGACAATAACCACATCAATATTTTGACCGTCAACCGGACGTACAACGTGCGAGCGCTAGAAGCACACCACAACGAAATCCATGACGCAGATTTGTTCCAGTTCAGTTCCGCTGAACACGTCGATTTGTCACACAACCAGCTGGATAACATCGCTGGTCTTCACGAGATGAATCAACTCGAGTATCTAGATCTGTCGTCGAACAACATCTCGCGGTTCGACTACAATCTCAAGTATTCTATACGAAACATTCCGACACTTAATACTCTCAGACTGCAGAACTGCAGTCTGACTGAAGACAACATGGAGGGTCTCCTGACGTCAGACTCCATCCTGAATCTCGACCTTTCACAGAATAACTTCGTCCATTTGAACATTAGTCACCTTTCCAAATTAAAGTCCCTCCAATACGTGAGCTTGAACTTCAACTACCTTCAAGAGCTCATCGACTATGAACACATGTCAAACCACTTCCCCTATCTGGAGATGATTTCCCTTTCCTTCAACCGTTGGAACTGCTCCTATTTTGACCGGATCATATCGTACCTAAACCACACCCGTATCCGTACGACCACCGACCCACGGGATTGCTACATCAATGGCAGCCACGTGACCGATTCGGACATAACGGACTCGTTCGAACCGGAATACACGCTCAACCAGGTGAAACGGGACTTGAACTTGGTCAAGAACCTGGGTCGAAGCTTGACCTACTTTATGTACGCCCTCTACTACAACATGCATGGTCTAAGTAACCACACTTTCTTCCTGTTGAAGCAAAACGATCAAAAGATGACGGAAATGAGCGCAGAAATAGGGCACCTGGTGGGAATGGTTGCATTCATGGTGACGATATTCGGTGCTATTATGGTGCTGGCACTGGCCTATGGGTTGCATATCCTGTACAAAAAGTGGCAGATGAACCGATCCGTCAAGGTGGTTACCTACAACAAGCGTGCTAATGAGTTTAGCAATGGCGTTACCGTCAACGAAGTCATGCGTGATAACATCTGAGAAGTGTGGGTGGGTGCCATAAGCGATAACATGTGAAACCAAATGGACAGCAAATGAAGACGTCTAGATTAATGTACTGTTGATATTGAAATAAATTTATAAATAACGATGTGGCGAGAGGTGTTTTCATTTGCTGAATGGATTACTGAAAAATTACTATTAGTTAGCTGCAGGCAAAACAGATGCATTCTGCTTTGACTGCAAAGCAGATGATGACTGTGTAATAAGCAAGAGGCGGCTAATTAGAAAATCAAATCGTGCCGACTGAAAACAGCAATCAAATGAAAACAAATTCTGTTTTATGGGAAAAGGGAACGTTATTTTTTTGTTTATAACCGAAATTCTGCCAATGAAAACGTGTTCACTTGTAGGCGAGTAGAATGCAACGAATACATTTTTGAAGAACGTAATTTTGATTTTGAACGAAAAAACTGCTTTTGATTTTTTGAAAATTAAATACGTCCCCTTTCACCACCACCGCAGTAAATTCTGATGTAAAAATAACCCACCTCACTAACACAATTATCCATCCCGTGAATGCCGTGGAGATGTGGTGGTGTATTCGGTCTTTAGTAACAACGGACGACAAACTAATCATATATATTTTTATACTTCAAAGCAATCATAAAACCTTTCATAAGTGAAAATAGCATAAGCATCAGTTGGTTTTTTATATAAGCTTTAAAGGGGTTTTGTAGATATCTATAAGAATGTTCCATGACTTGCATTATATATGACCGTCATTAAGCTGTAGGGAATGGTTGCAGCTGCAATAAAACCTTTATAAATTTTGAATATAGCCAAGCAGCTCTAGACTTGTTACTTGGGATCCTTACTTCGCCATAAGACCGTGTGGAGTGGTCGGCGCTGTGCTTGATTTAGGGTTGCCAGATTTTTGACGTAGGACTACGTCTGTGATTTCTATATGGGGGTACACTTTGTGAAAACCGAAAATGGAACATGTAACGTAAATTCCCAAACAGGGACGCAGCGACAGAGCGCCAATCGAACACACGACACATTTTTGCTTTGACTTCGTTCACATTCTGATTTCGACCAAGTTCCCTTCGCCGATTTCAGCTGTGAACGATTGCAAAAACAGCAAACTGATCGCAGTCACTTTGGTGCTTTGTGCTGCTTCTAACTTGGGCAGTAAAAAATAAAGTAGGGGTTATTTTCCAAGAGTCGAAGTGACTTTTTTCACTAGTGAAGTGAGAAAAGACACGTCGTGGTGACGTTACTCTCCATTTGATTTCCACAGAGAGTCACGTCACCACGACGTGACTTCTCTCACTTCACTAGTGACAAAAGTCACATCGATTCTCGCTATCGCTCATTCTGGAATTTCAATATGCAGGAATATGGGAAAATCGGCTTCTATGCAGCAGCTGTGGCATGCACAGCGCAAACAACCAAAACAAGCTAGAATGAAACATTGAAACGTCCGTCGCTGCTGTCAGAGATGCCAGATTCACAGACATGTCTGTGAATTCACAGACTTTTATTTTTTTCACAGACTTTTTTTTCGTTACAGACATTTACAGACTTTTTAGTTTTTTCACAGATATTTACAGACTTTTGAAATGAAGGGAAAAATTTAAAATTTAGTTACCTTTTTATTAATAGCTTTGAACGTATACGCGTAAATGGATGCATTCCCAACTCCAATTAGGTTTAATTCGTTAAAAGCAGGTCTGTTTTTTCCCATACCGTTTTAACCGCTTTACTACCAATCCCCAGAGCCAAAACATTAAAATTTGAAAGAGAAAATTCACTCTCAATATCTCAACATTCCATGTACTTTGATGACACTCTGTAACATTTGGTGGGGGAGGAAGGACTAACATTTGAAGTCCCTCCCATTTAGCATATTCTGCATAAAAAATACATACAAATTCAGCCTGTAAGAAAATACTATTTATCAAAAATTTCTAGGAAAAAAAAACTAAACGTTAATGAATGATTTTTGACTTATTTTCACCATAATATGCATCCAAAGCGTTCCATCCACTTTTCCAAATTTCTAACTTACTATCAATGGAACAGCGCCATCAATGATAAAAAATAGCCATGACTTGGTGAAAACTATTTTTGTAGTTCTTTAAGAAATCTATTCCAACTCTTTTTTTATATGAACTTAGTGGCCCTGAAAAGGGCCGGTTTGGTAAGATTTTCGACGGGGAAATTAAGCGCGTTCACCACGGATACGACGAGCCAGCTGGATGTCCTTTGGCATGATTGTGACACGCTTGGCGTGGATGGCACACAGGTTGGTATCTTCGAACAGACCGACCAGATAAGCCTCGCTAGCTTCCTGTAGAGCCATAACAGCTGAGCTCTGGAAGCGCAGATCGGTCTTGAAGTCCTGGGCAATTTCACGGACCAGACGCTGGAAAGGCAACTTGCGGATCAGCAGTTCGGTCGATTTCTGATAACGACGGATCTCACGCAGGGCGACGGTGCCTGGCCGGAAGCGATGAGGCTTCTTTACTCCTCCGGTGGCTGGAGCGCTTTTGCGAGCGGCCTTCGTTGCCAACTGCTTGCGAGGAGCCTTTCCTCCAGTGGACTTGCGAGCGGTCTGCTTGGTGCGAGCCATTTTCCTTTATCCGATGTTTTCACGTTGAAAGCTAACTGTGGAATAAAAAATAAAAAGTTTTTTTAGTTTAAATGATCTTTATTTTAGTTTAACTTGGACGATTACCATATAAATTTTTACTAAGTGATTTAATTGCTTTCTTCATCTTTAGGTATGGGCAAAATTTAAAATTTGTTTTACAGGATTAGTCCTAGACTTAGTACACGGTCGACCACCTTGGTGGGATTGGTTTGTTTTGTTTTTAGAATTTGAAGAGAAACTACTTAATACTACTATTTACAGCTTAAAACTAACCTACTCTACTATATACACTTAACCTACTATGTACAAATTGCTTATTAAAGCATGTTCAGAAAGATTGCATTTTTGAATAAATTTAGTTGTCATATCATCAATTTTGGAATCTACTTTGGGAATTTCTGCCTCTTGATGGAGGTCTGCTATTCTTGTGTCGAATGGACGATCTAGGATCATCCTCAACACTCTATTCTGTGCAACCTGGATTTTGTTCCTGTGGGTCTGAGCGCACGATTCCCACACCGGGGCGGCATAGAAGATCGCGGGGGCTATGATCTGTTTGTAAACAGCCAGTTTGTTTTGCCTTGAGAGGCGGGATCTGCGGCAAATGAGCGGATACAAACACCTAACCAAGGCGGAGCACTTAACTAGGGTTTTCTCTATGTGCGAGCGGAACAGGAGCTTCTCATCGAACAACATCCCGAGATAAGTAACATCAGTGGACCACTCGACCCTTGTACCATCCATTATTACGGTACAGGAGGGAGACGGTTTAAGTTTTAATGATTGTCTGTGAAGGAACATGATCGCTTGGGTTTTCGAGGCGTTGATTTTGATTTTCCACGTGGTGGCATAATCAGTAAAGGTGTCAAGGCATCGTTGGAGCTTGTTCGTAATTTCACGAGGCATCCTACCTTTGACGGCTATCGCGGTGTCATCTGCAAACAGAAAGAACACGCAACCGTCTCCTAGAGGAGGGATGTCCGACGTGTAGATGCTGTAAAGCAGTGGTCCCAGCAGACTCCCTTGCGGAACACCTGCTGGGATCGGAAATTGTCCCGAAAGGGAACTATTCAACGACACCCTGAACGACCTTTGCTGGAGATAGTTACGGGTGATTTTCACAAGGTATGGTGGAAAGTTGGAGTTACAAAGCTTGTATATAAGTCCGTCGTGCCAGACATTGTCAAACGCCTTTTCGACGTCTAACAAGGCCATGGCTGTGGACTTGGATACAGCTTTGTTACTCCGGATGTTATTCATCACCCGCACTAGCTGATGATTGGTGGAATGCCCCTTACGGAACCCGAACTGTTCCGGAAGAAGAATGTCATGTTCCTCCACAAACTTGTTTAGTCGGCTGAGGATCAATTTTTCGAACAGCTTGCTCAGCGCTGAGAGCAGGCTAATCGGTCTGTAGCTTGACGGTAGTGAAGGGTCTTTCCCAGGTTTGCGGATCGGGATGATTTTTGCCACCTTCCAGATGCTTGGAAAGTAGTGCAGCTCCAAGCATCTGTTGAAGGTGGCAGCTAGCAGCGAGTGCATCCTCGGGCTGAGATTTTTCAACGCTAGGTTGAATATTCCGTCAAACCCGGGAGCCTTCATGTTCTTACTGTATTTCAGCGCTGAGCAAATTTGTTCCTCTGTAATCCGTTCTTCTGGAGGGACGGCACAAGGGGAGGCATCTAACGTCAGGACGCACTGCGCAACCTGGTTCTCGAGTGGACTTGGGATTTTAGAGCCAAGCAAATGCGACTGGGCAATGTGCTCCCCAATCGCATTGGCCTTCTCTTCGTTGGTGATAAGCCGTTCGTCATTGACTCTAAGTGGTGGAATGGGCTTGGGGTGAGACTTCAGCACCTTGGCAACCTTCCAGAATGGTCTGGAACGGTCGTCCAGGTTCTGAACGAGCCGCCCGAAACTCTCGTTCCGGATTGAGACCATTCTGGAAGCGATCTGCCGATTCAGATCGACCATTTCGTATTTACGCTGCAGATCCCCAGTCCGCTGAAACTGGCGTCTACGAACATTTCTGAGCCGAATCAAGAGTTTGGTGTGGGAATCAATTGCTAGAAACTTACCCCTCACAGGAACTCGTCGAACGCACTCTTCGTCAGCCACGGATATGGCTTGATGGAGACCCTCCAGGGCCCGGTCGATGTCCTCCACTGTGTCGAGCGGTGGGTTGTCGTCGATGTGGCGGTCGACCACGCGTCGAAACTGGACCCAGTTGACTCGATGGTAGTCCTTCCGCTGGCACGGTGCAGAGGCCACGTTGTAGCCCAGCTCGGTCAGCACCGGTTGGTGGTCCGAACTCAGGTCGTTGACGGCAACCGGCTTGGCTAATCTGGTGTTTGCCAAGAACAGGTCCAGCGTCGATGGGTTGCCCGTCGGTGATGTGAAGGTTGGTTCGTCCGGAAACCAGACGGAATAGAGACCATGCTGGGAATGGTCGAATAGCAGGCGGCCGTTCTGGTTCTGCTGGTAGTTCCGCCAGGCCTCGTGCCGGGCGTTCAGGTCCCCTCCGATTACGAAGCGGGCATTGGTGCGGGTTATGATGGCAAGGTCGTTCTTGAACTGCTGTGCTGTACCATTGCTAACGGTACATTGCCGGGGACAGTAGGCGGCGATGAACCGGATGTTTCCGGTCGATGTTTCCACCTCTACGCCGACGGCCTCGATGATGGAAGTGCGGTAGTGGGGTAGGGTGCAGTACTTGATGCCTTTCTTGATGATGACCGCGACACCGCCCCCCCTGGAGCTGGTGCGATCAAGCCGGACAATGCTGTGGTCGGGCAGCCAGAAGCTGTCACCGGTCTTGAGGTGGGTCTCGGTGAGGAGGCCCACGTCGATGTCGTGCTTGCGGAGGAAGTCTGCAAGCTCAATGTTTTTCGCCCCTACGGAGCGAGCGTTCCAGTTGGCGATCTTTATGGGTTCACGGTCCATAATTAGCGACGAAGGAGATGATAGCTTGGAGCTGTTGTGTTCTTGTTGCGCAGGTGCGCTTGATGATGATGGCCTGGGCCAACAGTGTGACGATCTCATCCGTTGACAGCGGAGAATCGTCTGTAGCTTCACCGGTTGTACCGGCCAATCCCGGAGTAGGGGGATCCGTCGATGGGCCGGAGGCTTGACTAGGTACTGCAGCGGCAGCCGACTGGGCAGCAGCCAACTGTTGGTTGAGCGGGAGCGGCGCCAACACTGGAATTGGCCGTGGTTGGACCGGTGATAACGGAGGAAAGTTCTGCGCGTTGTTTTCCGGGACCTTCTTGCGACCGGGCTGGTTGTTGGACGAGGCCTTCTTCCGGATCTCGGCGTATTCGGCCCGCTTCGGACAGGCCTTACTCGTGGCCTTGTGGGCAGCACCGCAGTTGGCGCATGTGGGAGCGGCTTCCTCGATGCTGTCGCAGTCGTCGATCTTGTGGTTTTTGCCGCATTTGATGCAGCGGCTGGCCATGCGGCAGTTCCTGGTGCCGTGCCCGAACAATAGGCAGTTCGAGCACTGGGTGACGCCACGGTGGGTTGGCTTATACCGCTCCCACTTCACTACGATGTGGAACAGTGTGCGTGTCGTATGGAGATCCTTCACGGTTGTGGAGTTCTTCTGCAGATGGACCAAGTAGAGCTGGTCACGATACTTGATGGCCTTGCTGCGGGTCATCTTGTGGATTTCGACCGGCTTGAGGCCGTTCGCCTTAATCTCGTCCATTAAGGTGGTGGTGTCCATGTCGTGGAGCCCGCGCAGCACCACTTTCAGCGGCTTGGTGGCCTCGACGTCGTGGGAGAAGTACTCCAGCTTCATCCTGTCCAAGAGGGCCTGGACTGCGTTGTAGTGATTTTCGGCCGAGACCATCAGTTTGTAGCCTTCCGTGCACCGTTGAATGGTGCAGCGAAGGCCCTGCTTAATGTAGAAATCCAGCTGCTCCCATAGCCCGGGAGGGAAGCCCTTCACATAGAAGGGTGGCAACTTAACTTTTTTAGGCACCGTCTCAGGGTCCGACTGCGGCTGGGCTCCGTTCTGCAGGGCGGAGAACGGATTGTTGCTCAGCAGCTTTTTTGCTGCCGATGCGGTGGCGCTGATGTCTTCAGGTCTGGGTCGTTTAGTTCCGGGAGGCCCCGGCTGCGGGTCCGCAACGCCTGTCGGGACGGGCAATGGGGTTTTCTTCTGCTTCTTCTGAGCTGGCTCGGTGGTCGCGCCGTCTCCTGGGAGAGTCTGTTTTCCCGGTAAGCCGGCACTCGCGTTACCGCGCGATTTCTTACCCATGGCTGGGTCAGCGAGAGCGTCACTATACAACGCGGAGCTAATTCGACTTGCGAACGAACGAACGAAACTAGAGAGAATTCAAATCGACTGAACTGCTCAACAGTCTGGCAGCGAATGATGAGATAAAAAATAAAAACGACTTCCATTCTGTTTTATAACATGCGTTTGCTGTGATCAACCAATCAGAAACGATGAAAGAACAAGAATACAACAACTAACAAGAAGAATTTAACCCTCGAGTAGGTATAAAAAAGCCGAAATTTGGAATTTTTGTTCACTTTCGTCTCATCCTTCATCAACAATAAACAAACCATCTCCCCCAATGACTGGACGCGGCAAGGGAGGAAAAGGACTCGGCAAAGGAGGAGCAAAGCGTCATCGAAAAGTGCTGCGTGACAACATTCAGGGTATTACTAAACCTGCAATCCGTCGTCTGGCTCGTCGTGGTGGAGTCAAGCGAATTTCTGGGCTTATTTACGAGGAAACTAGAGGTGTGTTGAAGGTATTTTTGGAGAACGTTATCCGTGATGCTGTTACTTACACCGAACACGCTAAGAGGAAGACGGTCACCGCGATGGATGTCGTTTACGCTCTGAAGCGACAGGGACGCACTCTGTACGGTTTCGGAGGATAAATTACCCTAATAAAAAATAACCATAAACGAACGATAACCCAAATAATTGAACTTTTCCACAAATGGTTTGGACGATACCCAGAACACGTCGTTAAGCAAAATAACCATAACAATTTTATTAGGGTAGCATCATCGACTCAGACTAAAAAACCGGCCCTTTTCAGGGCCATCAAATGAATTAAAAAGGTGATTTTGATTAACTTCCTTGTCGGGATTTCAAAGGTGGTAGGGATGTGATCGAATGATGATTTTTTTCAGTTGAAGATTATTAGATTTAACCTAAGTTGGTTGTTACTGGTATGAGATCTACCACTGCTAATCCAGTACCGACAATCATTTGCATTCATTTGTTGTGTTGGGGTAAGTAGTGCGTTTCCAGTGTTCCAGTCGAAATACAAAATAATCAATAAAAACCGCCTCGGTTGTACGCGCCTTGGTCTTGGTTGGTTAATCTGAGGGCAATCATAGAGAATAATCAGAGAACCCAACTAAAATTCCTATTCCTACACAAAACACAAACTCCTGCTGCAGTTAACAAAAATATTTATTATATCATACCACGTTGTCCTACGTCATCATTTCGTACAACCCCATTGGGTTGTCCCTTGTAGTTTTTTTTAATCAGGTCACTTACGAGAAAAAATCAGAATTAATCATGATGCTGTTTAGGTGGTTGTGAGGAAAGTCTTAAAATCAAACGAAAAAAAAAGTCAAACCAAAAAATAATTGATGTGTTTGATGCTTCACATCATATGAATCCATTACTTCTGTAAATATGGTTCAGAACTGATTCTGAAGGAGTTGATCCGAGATCCGCAACCAGTAATATGACTCACGAAGAAACTTGAGATGAGCTTTATTTGCTTGTTAAATAAAAGTTAGTTCTAGAACCGATTTCGAGGATCGTTTTAGGATCTCCAATCTAGGATGAGGCCTAAGATTAACAAAATTATCATTCTTGACACAAAATAAAATGAATCAATCAGTAATTAGATATCAAATCAATGGCGAAATAAATAAACTCGGTCAACTGCAAACAGTGTAATACGCCAAAACATAACTTGATAAATAACATAACCTCTCTTTTTCGAATTGACTTCTAAATTGATTTACCTTTCTATACCTACCGTTGGATTTGATAAAGCATGAGCATGATTGACCACCCACGGTGGCTACTTTGTTATTGCCAGATCAGCTGTAATTATACAGAGCACCAATAGACGATGCTTGGGACTAGCAATCATCCTCAATGTGAAAAAAAAAAACTGGTGAACCCATACTAGGCAACATCAGGGTCGACCGCTCCCGAACGCAGGTCAAGAAAGGAATGGGTAGGAACGTGTTGACGTGACACTCGCTTTGATGGAAGCCGAGAACACCTCTGCACTTCCACGATGAATCACTGGGATATTGGGTAAGAGGGTTGGGATTGCAGCAGGGTTCGTTTAGGTAAACGATAAGCTGAATTGATGTACTAACGATCATATAACGCGAAGGGGATTGAGCCTACGATCTTTTGCTCAACATGCAAAAACGTTTGCCACACCTTGTTAATCATCAAGCTATTGTTATTACCATGTAGTCACATTAACAAATAACGATTGACGAATCTTGAATATGGGTGGGTTTGAGATTAGACTCGTGATGTTCTGCTCAGTAAGCAAAAACGATCGCTTTAAGGCCACCGAGCCCCTCTTATCACATCATACCTTTACTCGAATTGTTGTAACCTTTCAAACCCGGCACCGACGACAACAAGTTTCGCAAAATATACGATACACAACCGATTTGACCATAAATCTCTTTAATATGAACCTCGTTTTTCTGCTCAGTAAGCAAGCCACTGCAACCGACTATCTTTCAAATCCTTTAGAATTATTGGATCAATTTTTCCTTGACATAGAAATATCGAGGGGCTTCCACCAACGTTGATTACCGGTTAGTGCCTATGAAATTATCACGAATTACGGCGATTATTCTACACTTATTTGGCCTACTATGGTATACTATAAAGATTAAAAAAAACTTTGTAATGAAACAACATCATTTGGGTCTATTTCGGGTATGAATTAACGGATTATTCGTCGCGGTTTTGAAGGAATTTTCGAATTTTTCCCTTAATACGACCCATTAAGCGGCGCACAACGGTCTCGTCCACTGTTTTGGTGATTTTATCCCTCATTTTTCACCTGAGCTGCCGTTTTGATGAGTGTACCTTTTTCCTTCAGTTTCCTCTTCATGATTTCCCAGTACTTTCCAATGGGCCTGAACTGGGGACAATTGGGCGGATTTAGGGTTTTCGGAACAAATAGGACTCCATTGTCATCGTAAAGAGAGAGTGAAGGATTAGTAATTACCATTTAATTCCGCTACCTTATTTGCTTATCCTTGACAGATATTCGTATTTTGTCTACAATGTGCAAACTTCTTCAGTGTCTTGAACTAACACTCAACTGGTATTCCACTAAGACGCCCACATTCATCAGGATTAAACTTAACTCTTGATCGTGAATCCATAATGGCCGATTCAAATGTGCAGGGATCCCATCCGTCAAAACCATAAAAATGTTTTATCTAGATAAGAATAATTTGTCCGAAATAGATTAGACACGAACTTACTCATAAATTTTGTACGCGTATTCGGAGCTAGGATATTCAAATATTTTCCGCGAACATGGCGGCAGATGTCAGTTTTGTGCTTTGATCAGAAATTTCTTTGTAATTTGTATGATAATTCATGTCGGTTTGTCAGTGGTTGTACTTCCCGGTTGTAGTGACAACTCGCAAGATCCGGCCAAAATGCCACCGGACTATCATGTGACTGGATGAAGGGGCGGAATTTGCTTCTGGAGACATTCGGTTTTGTAAACCTCCGAGCTCATCATTTTATCAGTGACGAAAACCTTTGTGTTCTGGCCGCAGCTGATTGCTTATTGGCGCGGTAAGTAGCCTTCGCGATATGGAATTTGCTGCACTGTACTACGGACGGCATTATACTTTTTACTCAAATCGCTTTCGGACATACCTGGGTTGCTTCTGATGGACCTCATGACCTTTCCATGGAGCTGAAGGTTTACAGTTTCACTCCGGCGTTTACTTTTAGGCTTCCAATTCAAAAGCTTTCGAAAACGTCCACTAGGAGCGCTGTAATAAGCAAAAGAATCTGTTCCATTACTAAGTGGGCCATGGTTTATACCCTGATTACATACTTCGCGCTGCATCGAGTTAGAACTGTTAGCGCAGCAAAAGATTCAAATACGATTCGACAGGTGCACGCACATTAGCATCTTGAAGATGTTTTAATTCTTTGGTTCCTCAATCAAAGGCGCCTGAACAAAACAGTGTCTTCGATGAGCCCAAGCAATAACTGAAGGTTGCAATGTTCCAGAAACGTTCACATTTCCTCAACTTCAAACTTCAAAGTATGGTATAGAATAAGAAAACTGAAAATTTACGGAGAAGTGTTGTTCAGTGACACAAAAAGTATTGAAGGTTTCCTAAAAAAATTCACGAGGAAATTTGCCGTCGTGAGCTTACATCTCAAATGATTTACAATGAGGACAAATCGGGATTGTTTTTTTTTTAATGTTGCAATCAGAATCGTTTGTTGGTTCGATAGATAAAAATGCTCCAGTCAATCAAAAGAGCACATTCATGTCGTGTCCTAATTTTCGTTTATTAATTTATTTGATAAGGCTCAACCGAATTAACTTTACAGAGCCAAGGAATTCTTGTTCACTATATAATACATCTTAAAACTATACCTTTTGATACAACACAATAAACATTTTATCTTCCGCTATCCAGTGAGCCTCCTCCACCAAAACGGGAGCCGCTTCCAGTGTTTTCATTGTTTGGCAGATTCGCCAACGGGGTCAGAGCGCTTCCATTGCAGCAATGGACGCAAAACGTGGTCAGGACTCACACTTTCATCACGAAACGGTTGCTTTCCAAAGTCGACGACAAGTATGCCAAAAATACAGAATAATCTGAATTTAAACAGATTTTTTAGCAGTTTTAAACCAAGAATCTGTATATACAGATATACAGATTTTTTGATTGGGTAAATGTATATACAGATATTTTAAGGTCTGTTTTTTTTTTAATTCAGCTAAATTTATGCGTCAGTGTTACTTTCATGTTACCGTATGATTAATAACCTTGTCTCGAGGGCATAGAACTCAATGAACTGGATTACCGGGGTGAAGTAATCGGGCACACATAACTGCATGACAGCACTGTACGTACCTGCAATTAATTGCATATAGGGGAAATGGATGTAATGTCGGCCTAAATGCCCCTAATTTGGGCCCATACATAAATTCAGCAATCGACTAAATTTTCAATAGCGACCAAAAATATCCATTAGTACCGTCCCAATGACACGTTCATCTAGATTCAATTGATAAATAGCTGATTTTTAGCGGTGAGTACAATCTCTGATCCATAGGCCAACATTAGAGTCATTTCCCCTACATTGTTTTTTGGATTACTAATACTTGAATTGTCTTATGGCGGTAAGCACCAACTGATCCTTGGTTTAAATTCTGATAACGAAAGTTGGGTTGATTTGGTATCGACGGTGCTATCAGTCCTGTATGCGTTTTTGGCATTCAAAAAGCTTAGAGTTTCGTCCAGACTTGGGAAAACACCCACCGGAACTGCGAGCCGTGCTAGAATATTGCTCCCCGTTCAAAGCTAACAGGCTCCGGTTTCGGTACCTCTTGTCGGCTCGCCACCGATACGAACAAGAAACCTGAACGCGGAGCCGTTTTATTCGGCTTGGTGCCGTGCTATGGTTATTCCACAGACAAACAGACGTAACTCTTTGAAAAACTTGTTCTTGAAAACATAGTATCTCAAAACATATAACCTCAGTAACGACATCTATCTGGCTTCTCGCGGAAAACAAGCTTGCTCGCTAACTCGTAAACAATATTGCATAAAATTTCTATAGAATATATAGAAACGTCAAAGTGATCCGATGCCAGCGCTGCGGCGAGTAGTTCGCGGAACTGATAATATTCAAATCAACCGTTAAATACATGAACGAAGATACACAATGAAGAGTTACGTCTGTTTGTCTGTGATTATTCGGTGCGCTCCGTGCGGCTGCGTGCCTGGGTTTGGTGCCAGACAGAATAC